GGATTTGCGTTCCGCGACCGGCCGGAAACCCCCTCGCCTCGCAGCCGGTTCCGGTCCGGTGAGTGGCGGCGGGAAGCCGGGGGCGGGGGCGGATGGCGGGAGCCTGGCCGCGAGGCCGGGCCTGGCGGGGAGCGCGCGTTCCCCGGGCCCTGCCCCCGTGCCCCTCGCCCCGCGCGGCCGCCGGCCGGCGAGTGGCGGTTCGCCGGAGCGCTTCGCGCAGCGCCCTGGGGCCCACGCCGGCGCCGCCCCCTGGGCTTTCCCGCCCGAGCGGGGTCGCCGCCCCGGGACGCGCCCTCGCCGGCTCACCTGTCGGCTTCCCCACGGCCGCTCGTGCGCCCCGCGCGCCGCTCGCCGGGAGGCGCCTGCGCTAGTGCTGCGGCCGCCCCGCCGCGCCGGACGCCGCTGCGCTCATCGCCGCTCGGTAATCCGCGGTGACCCCGGCGGGATCGCTGGGCCCGGGGACGGGGATTCGCGTTATCAGCGCCGCCGCAGCGTCCTCTATCTCGCCCGCAGGGACGCGCCGCGTTATCACCGCCGGGGCAGCCTCCTCGGATGTTCCGAGTATTGTTCGTGGCGATGGTAATTCTCGGATGCCCGCGGGAGGCCTTGCAGGGCTGACAACTCCCTGGCCCGGGGTCGGGGCTGCCACCCACACGGACCCCTAGTCTGCACAGCTCCTGGGGTGTGCTGGGTTCAGTGGGATCTTAAGCATCCTTTGGAGCCGGTGCCCTGAGCCCTCAGGGTTCTGGTCGCCTCCAAGCCGGTGAGTGGAAGTAGGGGTCGGGTGATGCAAGCAGGTGCTTCTGCTGACCACGGCCAAGTCCCGCAGGGCTACAGCTTCGAAAGTCCTCCTCGCGTCATGGGAAGGCCCAGCCAGGCCGGTGGCCAGCTTCTACCAGCAGACCCGTCCTTCCTCCCTCCCCTGCATGCGGCTCAGGTTCCGGGTCTCCTTGGGACTTGGCTGGGCTGGTGGAAGCCAGGAGCACAAGATGATGTGCCTGGTACTACACGGCGCACACAGATGTTTATGTCCACACACCTAGCTGACTGTGAGCAAAGTTTACCAGGGACTGCGTTCCCAGGCAATCTCCAGTGTATCCCTTAGGAGTGTGTGAACTTGGACCTGCTTCCATTGCAGTCAGGACTTCATCCGCGTTTTTTTCTTGTAGGTCTTTATTACTTTGTGCTCAGCTACTAATCTGGTTCCCCTCAAGAACTAATTGCGTACATTCTTTTGGTGAAGAAAATGGTTAGTGTGTACAAAGGAATTCATTATTGAATGAGTTATTTTCTTAACAGGAAAACTATTTGAAAATGTATTTATTTGAAAGGTACAGTTGTAGAGATTTTGCATCTGGTGGGCTGCTTCCCAAATGGCTGCAGGCAGCCAGGACTGAGCCAAAAGTTGCACTCAGGTTTGCCATATTGGGTACAAGGTCTTTGAGGGCTTAGGCCATATGCTGCTTTCCCAGATGTATTAGCAGTGAGCTGGATCGCAGCCGTTGGATGTGCAAAGTGCTGCTTATGCGATGCTGGTATTGCAGGTGGCAGCTTTACCCACAGCACCGCAATTCCAGCCCCAAGAGAAGAATTCCTACACTTGGAGGCATTTAGTGGTCTGAAAGTTACCAGACCCAGCATTGCATGGAGACTCTTGGGATCCAGTATCCCTTCTCCTGATACAGTCCCTAGGTGGTGAAAAGCACGCACTGTGGGCACACTGAGGAAGGTCGGTCTGTTTACCCCTCCAAGTACATGTCAGGCTTCAGTTCCTTAAAGTGGTGGATCAGTGAGGAATTGTGAGGCTGCAGTAAAGGAAGTGAAGTGTGGGGTGTGGTCATATCTTGCTGAACCTCCCCAGCACAGCCTTAGGGTTTTTAGCTTGCTTGGTCTGTCTCCTCATTCGTCATTGAGTGTGTCACTGGGCTGCAGACTTTCTATTGGCATTCTTTTTTAAAGATTTATTTATTTTTATTGGGAAGTCGGATATACAGAGAAGAGGGAAGAGAGAGGAAGATCTTCCATCCGCTGGTTCACTCCCCAAGTGACCACAACAGCTACAGCTGAGCTAATCAGGAGCCAAGAGCGTCTTCCGGGTCTCCCACACAAGTGCAGTGTCCCAAGGCTTTGGGCCATGCTCAACTGCTTTCCCAGGCTATTGCACCGGGCCCTATATTGGCATTCTTAAAACAAAAAGAAAAAAAAAGTTGATAATAGTTACCAAGTGACCTAAGACAGCACTACTAATTTACTACTGGTTAATGTGATTTTCTCCCTTACCCTGGAACTCGGGGGAATTCAGTTAAAGAAGAAAGGAGGGCCTGGCGCTATAGCCTAATGGCTAAAGTCCTCGCCTTGCATGCACTGGGATTCCATATGGGCGCTGGTTCATATGTTGGCTCTCCCACATTCCTTCCAGCTTCCTGCTTGTGGCCTGGGAGAATCATCAAGGATGGCCAGAGCCTTGGGACCCTGTAACCATGTGGGAGACCCAGAAGAAGCTCCTGGCTTCGGATCAGCTCAGCTCTGGCCATTGTGGCCACTTGGGAGTGAACCAGTCAGTATATGGAAGATCTTTTTTGTCTCTCCTCTCTGTAAACCTAACTTTCCAATAAAATAAATAAAACAGGAGGAGTAACCTGGAGGATTTCCACATAGAAGTCTTTTAAGTTGGGCTTTTTTTGTTTTTTTCCAAAGATTTATTTGTATTTGTTGGAAAGGTAGATTTACAGAGAGGAGAGACAGAAAGATCTATCTGCTGGGTCACTCCCCCAAGTGGCCTCAATGGCCAGAGCTGAGCTGATCAGGAGCTTCTTCTGGATTTTTTTTTTTAAGATTTATTTTATTATTTTTATTGGAAAGGCGGATATACAGAGAGGAGAGACAGAGAGGAAGATCTTCCGTTCGATGATTCACTCCCCAAGTGAGCGCAACGGCCGATGCTATGCCAATCCCAAGCCAGGAACCTCTTCCGGGTCTCCCACGCGGGTGCAGGGTCCCAAAGCTTTGGGCTGTCCTCGACTGCTTTCCCGGGCCACAGGCAGGGAGCTGGAAGGGAAGCGGGGCAGCCGGGATAGAACCGGCGCCCATATGGGATCCCGGGCGTGCAAGGCGAGAACCTTAACCACTTGTGCCACCGCGCCGGGCCATGCTTCAGAGAGAGAGATTGTGCTTCTGGATTTTCTATATGGAAGCAGGATCCCAAAGCCTTGGGCCACCTGCTGCTGCTTTCCCAGACCATCCTCAGGGAGCTGGGTGGGAAGTGGAGCAGTTGGAGTTGAACTGGCTCCCACATGGAATGGTGGTGCTGACAGGTAGAGGATTAGCCACTTTAGCCATCAAGCAGGCCTGTAAGTTGAACTGTGGTAATGCATTTGAAGCGTAAATCTAAGGCTTAAGTTCTTTAGGGGTCCTGTTTGGCAGGCTAGATAATCCAGTGTTGATTGCTGTGCTTGGCAGTGTTGCCCTCCCTCTGTATAAGCACGAAGTGTGTTGTTCTCTCAGCACTGTTGGCGTCATGCTCCACCCTCACCTTTGCCTCTGAGATGAGACAGTGTCTAGAGGAAGGGGCACTGTGACCTTCTCCTGGGAGTCTGCTGAGAAGCCCACATGCCATAGGCATGTTTATTAGCCTGGTTTCGGAAATTGGGCTTTAGCTACTTTTTCTTTTCTTCTGGGAGAAGTGAACACTTCAGAGAAGTGTTTACTTACAGCAGTCCTTCACTTAAGGTTTGGCTGCCCATGGTCTTAATCACCCATGGTCAACTCTGTGGTCAGAAATGTTAAATGAGAATTTATTTATTTTTTCTAAGATTATTTGAAAGGCAAGAGAGAGACAGAGAGATCTACCATCGCCATTTGCTGGGTCGCCTCCTAAGTGGCTACAGCAGCCAGAGTTGAGCCAGGCTGAATCAGGAGCCTGCATTCCATCTGGGTCTTCTCCAGGGGTGCCTCTTGTGTTCTCGGCAAGGAGCTGGGTCAGAATGGAGTAGATAGCACTTGAACTGGTACTGCGATGTGGAATGCTGGTGTCAAAAGTGGTGTTTTAAATCCTGGTGCCTTAATTAGTCCATGTTTTGAGAGTCAGAAGACTGTGGTATTGTATTGCTATAATGCTTCTCATTATTTGCTACTCTCTTATTGGGCTCAATTCATATATTAAACTTTACAACTGATGTATGTGTTGTACTATAGAAAGTTCATGGAAAAGTAAGATTTTGAAAGAAGTAAGATTTCTCTAATAAAAATTGTTTAAAAAGAAAAACTTTTTGAAAAATGTATAGTCTGAAAAAGTACGCGTGCGTTTCAGTTTTTCTTGAAGATTTGTTTATTTTTATTGGGAAGGCAGATATACAGAGAGGAGAGACAGAGGACGATCTTCCGTCTGCTGATTCACTCCCCAAGTGGCCACAGTGGCTGGAGCTGAGCTGATCCGAAGCCAGGAACAAGTAACCTCTTCCCAGTCTACCACACAGGTGCAGGGTCCCGAGGCTTTGGGCCATTCTCAACTGCTTTCACAGGCCACAAGCAGGGAGCTGAATGGGAAGTGGGGCGGCCAGCATTAGAACTGGCACCCATATGGGATCCCAGTGCATTCAAGGCGAGGACTTTAGTGCTAGGATGCCACGCCTGGCCCAAGAAGCTGGGTTTCTAGGGTGCAGTGCCCAGGAACCCCACGAAAGAGGCATTCTGTGTAAGCATGGAGCTTTATTTTGTTGCATGATGGGGTGGAGGGGCTGTGCTTTTTACAGACTGCAGCATTCCTTGCTTGTCCACAGGAAATCAGTAGCATATTTGCTCTGAGTACCACATAAGGAAGATAATCTTAAAAAAAGAGCTTTTCTTATTTTTTTGAAGGACAGTGTTATGGCGAGCGGGATATCTTTTATTTGAGGTTTTATTCCACAAATGCCGCAAGGTCTGCCGCTGGGCCACACTGAAGTCAGAAACCTGGAATTCCATCTGGGTCTGCTTTGTGAATGCAAGAGCCCAAAGACTTGAGCCATTTTCTGCTTTCCTAGACTCCTTTGCAGGGAAGTGGATCTGAAGTGGAGCAGCTGGGACTCAGACTAGCCCAGATGAGAAACTGGCAATCTGAGCAGCAGCTTAACCCCGCACATAGCTGGCTCTGGAAGAGAAGCCTGCGTGGGGCCATAATTGGGACAAGGTGGCTCAACATAGCACAAGGCGCACAGGCAGGAAGGACCTGAGTTATCTGATGTTGTGACCTCTTGTGCATTGTGCAGTTTTCCTGCAGGGGTGCTCCCCGCTTGCTGCTTGTGTTGGTGCTCGGATGCTGTGGCTTGGTCGTGACTGCTTAATGACCTGGCACAGATTGCCCAAGTGTTGGGAAGCAGCTCTGAGCACTGGTAGTTCCCTTGTTCCCCATCAAGTCAGCCCTCCTTACACCTTAGACTTTTCACTCCTGAAGAAAACAAAGGATTGGTACTTCTGAGTGGCTTTCTGATCTGCAGTTAGATAAAATGGATGTCTATAATGTTCATTAGGTAATGTTTCTCTTTTGTATCTTTTCCTCAGTGAACTTTGTATTGTTGCCAAAGTCAGTGATGTGAGAAGACCTGACATGGGTAAGACTAACCATAGTCAGTTCAATTTTTCAATTGCCCTGAAATTTTTCAAATTATTTATTTATTTTTGTACTTAATCTATTTATTTGAGAAGCAGGCTTACCAAAAGAGAGATTACTTGTCCTCAGATTCACTTCCCAGTGCTGTCACGGCTAGGGCTATGTCCAGTGTCTGGGGCTCAAGCATGGGTCCCATCTGCTATTGCTTTCCCAAGTGCACAAGCAGCAAATGGGATTGAAAGTGGGGCAGCTAGGTCTGGAACCAGGACTTAGGTGGGATGCCAGCATCATGGACAGCGGCTTTACTTGATGTCCCATAGTGCCGTCTGTCTGATTAGTGAAGTGACCAATATTAACAGTGTTGGCTTCTGAATGGTAAAATTTTCCCTCAATTCTTTAAATGTGAAAACCTGTATTTCATCGCTTCTCGGCTCTTTGGCTAGGATCAAATGTAGAAAACCGGTATTTCTACAGTTAAAACATTAAAACTTTTCTGTGGGAAAACTTCATTATTTCTAAAACTTAAGGCTGTGTTTTTGAACTATTTTGGTGTATAATTTTAGTTCCGAATGAGCTGGTTTCTGCATAAGGACCTCTTGAACATTTTTTTTTTTAACACAGGATTATGGGCAGGGGGTGTTGTTTGACTGCAAAGTTCTTTGGGAATCGGTTTTGTTAATTGCTTTTATTATATGAAAAGATGGGCTCATAGGAAAAATATTGAAGAATGATGTGCCTTGAGCTAATCTGGTCTCTCCTCAGATGACACTGCTGACAGGGCGAGGATGGATGCTGGCGAGGTGACTGTCATGAACCACGGCTCTATCCTCAGATCTCACTTCCTGCCACAGACAGGCTTTCTCAAGGACCAGCCTTCATGTTCTGACCAGCAGGTTAGGAATAATCGCCCTTAATTAATTAGTTAATTAGTTAAGCTCATTGTAAGTTTCTATCTCATATAGTTTATTTTTTTTTAATTATTATTATTATCTTATGATAGAGTTCCCATAGGCCTTGGATTTCCCTTACCCCCTCCCCAAGTTCCCTTCCCCCCCACTGAATTCCCATATGTTTTTACTATAGTATAGTTCTTCATAAGCAGTCATATCATCCATCATTGCGGGCATGGACAATGGCAGAGAGTCCAGCATCCTATTGTCAAGATATTGTTAGTGGTTTCGTTGGGAGTCCATCTTTAATCTGGAAGTAGAGATGTATACTACATTGTATCTTCACATCTGGCCATGATTATGGTAGGCTCCATTATGCAGTTACTACACATCCCTTTAAATGAAAAGCCACAATGCAAAATCAACAAAAGTAAGAAAAAAAAATAAATTAAAAACTCCATGAAGTTAAATAACATGCTACTGGGTATGATAGTTTCCAATGCACAGTTGCTGTTCATCCCCTTAAATGAAAAGCCACAATACAAAATCAACAAGAAAAAAAGAGATTAAAGGCATAAATTACTGAATGACTAATGTGTCGCTGAAGAAATGAAAAACAATATCAAGAACCTTCTTGAAGAAAATGATGCTACTGTGTGATGCATGAAGAATTTGTTGAGAAAAAGTTTTGAAGAGATGAAGCAAACAAAACAATCCTTGAGATATAGTTTCTGCTGATCTTCGTTGGTGAAATATGTCTCCTGTAGGCAACAAATACATGGGTTAAGTTTCATAATCTGTGTTGTTTGATGAGTTTAATCCATTTACATTCAGGGTTATAGGAATGGGTAGTAATTTGGTCCTGTCATTTGAGCAATGGGTTGTTCATTGATTTCGACTTCTGTAGTTATTTTGCTGGGATGTTCTTCACATTTGTCTTTAGTTTTTTTTTTTTTTAAGATTTATTTATTTATTATTACAAAGTCAGATATACAGAGACGAGGAGAGACAGAGAGGAAGATCTTCTGTCCGATGATTCACTCCCCAAGTGAGCCGCAACGGCCGGTGCTGTGCCGATTCAAAGCCAGGAACCAGAAACTTCTTCCAGGTCTCCGACGCAGGTGCAGGGTCCCAAGGCTTTGGGCCGTCCTCAACTGCTTTCCCAGGCCACAAGCAGGGAGCTGGATGGGAAGTGGGGCCGCCGGGATTAGAACCGGCGCCCATATGGGATCCCGGTGAGGACTTTAGCTGCTAAGCCACGCCGCCGGGCCCTTTGGTTTTGATGGATGCTATTTCTCTTCTCCATCAAAAAAACATCTTTAAATATCATTTGAAGGACAGTAACAGAAGAGGCATATCCTTTAAAACTTTCTTTACTGTGGAAGAATTTTATTTCATTTTCAAAGACAAAGGAAAGCTTTGCTCGGTACATTATCCTGGGCCGACAAGTTTTTGCTTATAGAATCTGGAATATGTCACTCAGTTCTTTTCTGGCCTGCATGTGTCTTGATGAAGATCACTTTTGGTCAACCCTGTTGGAAGTTCTGTGGCATTCCTGGATGTTGTTTCTCAATTTTTTCTCTAGATTACGGAAAATTTCCCTTATTATTTCATTAAATACATTTTTAAACCCAGCTTCTCTCTCTGCACCTTCTGGGACTCCCATAACTAACTCTCTCTCTCTCTCTTTTTTTTTTAAGATTTATTATTTGTTTGGATTGGAAAGGTACATAATACAGAGAGAAGGAGAGACAAAGAGGAAGATCTTCCGTCCGATGATTCACTCCCCAAGTGGCCACAACGGCCAGTTCTGAGCTGATCTGAAGCCAGGATCCAGGAACTCTTCCTGGTCTCCTACATGGGTGCAGGGTCCCAAGGCCCTGGGCCATCCTCAACTGCTTTCCCAGGCAGGGAGCTGGAATGGAAGCAGGGCTGCCAGGATTAGAACCTTATGGGAGCATTCAAAGTGAGGACTTTAGCTGCTAGGCCACAGCGCCGGACCGTCCGCCATATTCTTAATTTCTAATATATCAACTTTCATTTGATTCATTTCCTGTGTGACATATTCCTTAAATTCCTTGAACGCCTGCCTTACACACTTCTCGTTGATAAGCTTTATAACAAGTGTTTTGAAATCTTATCCCCCGTTTTCTCAGTGTTTTCCTCAGTTAACCTTGAGGTTGGCAAAGGCTTGCTCCTTCGCAGGGGAGTTTTCAGTAATATTCATTGTGCCTGCATCTCTTCTTTTTGCTCTTGGTCATTGCAGATTCTTCTCCTTGGGGCAGGTTTCTAAGCTGTGTCACCCACAGGTCTACAATTTATTTTACTTGTTGTGATTGGTATATGGCTCTGTGTTTGCAGTCACTTGTACCACTCCCTCCAACGAGTTCCAGGTCTGGGTTCTTATGTTAGACTTCCACCATGGTCTCTTTAGCCCCAGTTCCTGGATCATCACTCTCCACCTCCTGTGATACAAGTTGAGGCTGAACTGTTGTCTGTACAGCCTTTCTCCCACTTCTGGTTGGAGCAGGTCCTAGGATTAGGGAGACACCAGGTGACCTATATAGCTAGGTTGTTGGTGGTACTGATCTTGCCAGAAGCTGTTGGCCATTAGGTCTGAGGGCCACATGGACCTAATTTGACCCATATGGTGCCAAAGTCAGTATTATTTTCCCTGTGGGACTAGTGCAATGCACTGAGCTCAGTGAGTGCGCTCCCATTTTGGTGCTTGTGCAGCTTCCTATTAACCCTGCAGTCTTAAAGCTTTTGCCACATGGTAGAAAATGGCACCTGTTGTGCCACTACTACAGTTATTGATCTGCTGGCCATTGAGTCTGAGGGCTACCCAGTCCTATCTTGGATGGAACCTGTAGGATGCCATATTGTTGCAGTTCACTGAGCTAGAAATGAGTTCCCTCCCAGCTCAGTGCATGTGCAGCACTGTTCTATGGCCTTGCCTTCCTACACACAAAATGGCACCTGATTTGGCTCTAGAGGGTGTACTGGGCTGTCAAATCCACCTTGTATCCACACTGTGCATCTGGGACTTGCCTCTCTGTTTCTACTCCTGGTCAAATCAAACAGACCAGCAGGACAGGCAGTTCTTTTCTGAGTTCACCTCTGAACTCCCGATAGAAGTCCCTTCCCACCTGGTTGCTGGTGAAGTTCCAGCTGTGGGTATAGTTCAGATCGCTGCTGGCTGAATGCCACTGGGGTATCAGTCACTGCAACACCACCCTGTTGTGTGTGCTCTTTCCTGTGTCTCTCAGTCTCTAGATGCCCCCTGCTGTTGTTCTGTCCTCCTAGTTCCTGGTACGTACCCTCTCTGCTTCACACTGGCTAATATTTCTTCATCTTTTTAAATGTGTCCTTACCCTATTTCACTATCATGATTCCCCACCTGATACAGTTTAAATGCACATCTCAATGCAAACAAATATTTTTAAGAAATTTAAGATATTTGCTTATTCAGTAGGCAGAGTTACAGAGAGAGCTGTCTTCTGTCCACTGGTTCACTTCTCAAATGGCTGCAGTGGCCAAGGCTGGGCCAGCCTAAAGTTGGGACCAGGAGCTTCATCCGGGTTTCCCACATGGATGCGGGACCCAAGCTCTTGGACCATCTTCCACTGCTTTCTCAGACATATTAACAGAGAGTTAGGGCCGAAATGGAGCAGCCGGGATGCTGGCATTGCAAGCAGTGCTTCAATTGCTGTATCACTGTGCCGGCCTCAGTAAGCTTCTAGAGCCAGGAATTTTAGTGTTTAGAGTTCTGCTTCTTTCGTTAAGGTTGAGATGAGACAGGCTAATGTGAGTTATTGGGAAAAAACAGTACCTTTTTGAAAGTACTCATTATTCCAAGAGTTTTGGTTGCCCTTGCTGATGTCATTTTTCTGGAGCAGGGGAAAAGGGAGGGACCAAGCACCCACCCTGCTGGGCTTGTCTGTGCTCCAGGTTTCCTTTCCAAGGCCAGTCAGGGAACAGCTGCATCGGGATCCTTTGGGTAGTGTGGAACACAAAGCCCTCACCACCACAATCACGGTCTGTGTGCTATCTCATGCACTTCCCAAGGAAGAAAGAGAGACCTTTCATCTATGGTACATTCTCATGTTCACAACAGCAAGAGCAGGACAAGGCTGACCTAGAGCCTGGAACTCAGTCTGGGACCCAAATATATGAAGAGCTGCTTGCCAGGGTCTGCATTTTTAGGGAGTTCAAATCAAGCAGAGCTAAGACTGAGTTGAAGACAGCGTCTTCACTGTTGCACCAGACTCATACCTCAGGACCTATGTGCTGTACATGCCCACAGTATGAGACCCCCTACCCCAGGGCTGTGTGTTGTGCACATCCACAGAGTGAGACCCCACCCCAGGGCTGTGTGTTTTGCATATGCAGCTGATTGACACTCATGCGATTGGAAACACATAGCTAGGACAATCATCTTTGTAGAGGAAAGCATGGATACCTTTGTTGAAGTAGTGCCCTGCTGTCTGAAGCTACCTCAGGAGCAAGTCGTTGCCCCTCGTCATTAAAAATCTAGTGCTTCCCATCGCATTCCCCTTCCTCTTGTTTTGATGAAGAGCACACTGTGACGCATATCCAGCTTTGTGTCAGCAGTACTATAGCACCTCTGATAGGTTGCTTCTCCTGGCCTTTTTCTCTCATATTACAGTTGGCTTTCAGATTGCCTAGTCAGCTGTTTTTTGTTTGTTTGTTTGTTTGTTTGTTTGTTTTTAAAGAGCATCTACTCTGGAAGAGAAGGCAAATTGGTACTGTTTGTATAGGACATGATCTTTTTTCTTTTTTAAAGATTTATTTATTGGAAAGTCAGATATATAGAGAGAAGGAGAAACAGAGAGGAAGCTCTTCCTTCCGATGTTTCACTCCCCAAGTGAGTGCAACGGCCGATGCTATGCCGATCTGAAGCCAGGATCCAGGAACTTCTGGGTATCCCACATGGGTGCAGGGTCCCAAGGCTTTGGGCTGTCCTCGACTGCTTTCCCAGGCCACAAGCAGGGAGCTAGATGGGAAGTGGAGCTTCCGGGATTAGAACCGGCGCCCATATGGGCTCCTGGCGCATTCAAGGCGAAGGCGTTAGCTGCTAGGCCATGCTGCCGGGTCCACCTAGTCAGCTGTTAATGAACAGTCTTTGGATTGAAGCATTTAACATGTTTTGTTCATATTTCTCCTTGAACTCTGATTCGTTTGACCAGAGTGTGTTTTCTTTTGCAAGTATGTAGCTTGTTTATAATATACACAAATATAATGTAACTACATTGGATTCTAAAATATGGCATGATCTTGTTTGATGGTATATATAACTTGCAGGTTTTTATTTCTTTTTACTGTCGACATACAATTTAACAAACATCTTGTGGTTTGTTTAGATTTTACCTTCCAGGCGGGATTTGGAGTCATCCTTTACTTGCCCGAGAGGAAGTGCAGCTTACAACCCAAATCACGACTCAGGTATGGCTGTTTGCTCAGAGTCGGGCCCGTGTGTGTTTCAGGTTTCTCCCTAGGAGAGGTTTGTTTGCCATCCCTAAAGTCAGTGTCAGAATCAAGATGAAACAACATTTTAATGCACTTGGTGTGTGTGTGTGTGTGGTTGCTGTAATCCTCTAATGATCCTGGTCTCAACCAAATGGTGTCTATTAGTGGCACATTTTTAAAAATCTAGTTTCTTGTACATTATACCATCATAAAATACAGTATGGCTTTGATTTTGTTTTGACCTTTATTTTGCATATATGTGTTAATGAGATACTAAGGTATTGGTTTTGCCTTGATTTGAAACTATAAAACTTGAAAATGTGTTTCTGCCCATACTTGTCCCCGTATCAGTGCAGGGAATGTTTCATTCACACAGCACCTGCCACAGCCATGTGCTTGCCTGGGCAGCTTGCGAGACACGTGGAGGTCAGCATGCTCCAGGCTGTGCCAGCTCCTCAGCCCCCCTGCCCCAGGTCTGCCCAGTTCCTGACATTGGGATTTCCACCACTCCTTTGCCTCTGGCCTAGGGAAGGGCGAGTCTTGTTAACTTCTTGGCAATTTGAATCAGGAAGGTCACAATGACCTTATCAGACCTTTTCATGTTACAGACTGAAGTCTGTATCACCTCCATGCTATACATGTGAGAATTCTAGTAGTACCGTCAAACCTACCTAAATGGTATCCTTTTTTAAATACATTTATTTATTTTCATTTGAAAGGCAGATTTATAGAGAGGAGAGACAGAAAGATCTTCCATCCACTGGTTCACTCCCAAGTGACTGCAACAACCAGGGCTGAGCCAATTGGAAGCCAGGAGCCAGGATCTTCCTCTTGGTCTCTCACATGGGTGCTTGGGTCTCAAGGCTTCGGGCCATCCTCTACTGCTTTTCCAGGCTACAGTGAGGAGCTGGATGGGAGGTAGAACAGCTAGGAATCAAACTGGCACCCGTATGGGATGCCAGCACTGATAAGCAGAGGAGTAGGCAATTGAGCTATTGTGCCGACCCTCTAAATGGGATTTTTGTAAGGACAAATTGAAACAATAAATAGGACATGAAAAAATAATTTTTCTTGTTATTTGGCTTCCTCAGGAATCTTTGTCAGCAAGAAGAGATCTGCCCCAGAAAGGCATAAGCAGGATGCTCTCTTAGATTTATACAACACTTAAATGTGATAGCAGGTGGCACTTGCACTATTCTGAGCACTGATACCCTTTCTTGGGGTACATGGTGGTCTCCACACAGCATGTGCATGACTTGTGAAAAGTAGTGAGCTTGCTCAGAAAGTAGCCGTACTGTCATTAGTATTGAAAAGGCCTTTGTGATTAGTGGTGCACCTGAGATCTGGTGCTGAGTAGAGATGGTTGAGGTTGAGGGTGCTAATGAATTCATGTCATTAGTGTTTCTCTGTGGGCTTGTGATTTCACGTGCCTGTTTACCTCTAGGAAGAATTGCTTAGAGAAACAGGTGTAAACTCCTGATTATAACTGCACTCCAACTTCTCTCTAACCTCTGATTTTTATCTATGAAACATATATGGTGCACACTGTGTGGTTTGGCACGTCCTGTTGTTTGTTTTTTGTTTTTTTTTTTAATATTCATTTATTTTTGTTCGGAAGACAGTTACAGAGAAGTAGGGACAGAGATCATCGCTCTACTGGTTCAACTGCCAACAATGGCTGAAGTCGGACCAGCCTGAAGCCAGGAGCCTGGAATTTTCTTCTGGGTCTCCCATGCAGGTGCCAGGTCCCATGCTCTTGGGCTACTCTCTGCTGCTTTCCCAGGCCATAAGCAGGAAACTGAATGGGAAGTGGAGCAGCCGGAACTTGAATTGGCACCCATTTCAGGTGCTGGTGCTAACAGGTGGAGGCTTAGCTTGCTAAACCACTGTGTTAGCTCCTGACATGTCTTTTTTAACATGGTGCTTTTTCCTTTCCATGTTTCTAAATTGTCATTTTGTGTTGATTTCTACTTCATGAAATAATTAAGAATGTACACCATTCCTGATATATCATTCCAAAATCCTAAAAGCCCAAAAAGATATTTTAATAATTGATTGAACATCCAAACCTGACCTGACATCATTCCTTCACAAAATCAGCATGAGCTTAAATGGAACTGTTTGTATTTGTTCTCTGTGATTGTGAGTGAGCTTTTTCATATTTTGCTGCAAATAGATAATGTGTATCATGATAGGGTGCTACAAATGTTACTTGGCATACCAGGTACCTGCATCAAATTCCAAGAAGTTAAACTTAGAAATAAAGCTGGATCCAAGGGCTTAGGAGATTGGGTGGTCCTAGCCTTCATTTGCTTCATCATTCCTCCTATGATTTAGATTCACTTCCACCATTCTCCTTGGTTATGATTTCATAATGACTAGAAAGCATTTGTGTGCATAGCCTTTCTATTTCAGATTCTAGACCCTTGATGCAAGCAGTGTGTCCAGGGCCATCTCCGGCCCTAGTGTTCTTGATCTGGCAATATTTGTTTAGATTCCTTTGTTGATCCCCAGACCAAAAATCTGACACTGATATTTTATCTCTCAGCTGTCAGTGGTTTCTATATAGAGAAGATATTTCACTTATAGTCATTGTCTGCTCCAAAATCATATTGACATGAAGTGCCAATCTGGCCTCTGTCTAGCTTAGTTTTTGAAGCTGGAACAAGCTGTAGCATAATGCAGACCTCCATGATTGCTGCCCAACAGTTAAAGATGAATGCCAGGGTTATTTATGCTGTTTTCTTTAACAAAATCTTTTTTTAAAAAGATTTATTGGGCCCGGCACGATGGCTCAGTGGTTAAGGTCCTCGTCTTGCACACCCGGGATCCCATGTGGGCGCCGGTTCTAATCCCAGCAGCTCCACTTCCCTTCCAGCTCCCTGCTTGTGGCCCGGGAAAGCAGTCGAGGACGGCCCAAAGCTTTGGGATGGGACCCTGCACCCACGTGGGAGACCTGGAAGAGGCTCCTGGCTTCGGATTGGCATAGCACCGGCTGTTGTGCTCACTTGGGGAGTGAATCATCAGACGGAAGATCTTCCTCTCTGTCTCTCCTCTCTGTATATCCACCTTTCCAATAAAATAAAAATAAATCTTAAAAAAAAAAGATTTATTTATTTTCATTGCAAAGTTATATATATAGAGAGAAGAGGAGAGACAGAGAGAAATATCTTCTGTCCACTGTTTCACTCCCCAAGTGAACGCAATGGCCGGTGCTGTGCCGGTCAGGAGTCAGGAGCTCTTCCAGGTCTCCCACACAGGTGCAGGGTCCCAAGGCTTTGGGCCAACCTCGACTACTTTCCCAGGCCACAGGCAGGGAGCTGGATGGGAAGTGGGGCCGCTGGGATTAGAACCGGTGCTCATATTGAATCCTGGCACATTCAAGGTGAGGACTTTAGCTGCCAGGCCACGGCACCGGACCCTTAACAAAATCTTTATCTTTTCTTAGAGCATTTCAGGTCCATAGATGTCTGCGTTCTTTTCCACTGATACTCACACTGATTGGTGTGTTCATTCACTTTTCTCCTTCTTGATGGTCAGATGGGCGTCCCTCGTCTGCTTGCTTGGCCTTCTGATCCTGTCTGGGATATTTGTCTCAGTTCTCAGCCTATTATCCCATGATGGAAATGAACTGGAAATCCCATGAGTATAGGATCAGGGTATGGGGCTTCTCATGTGTTGCCTTTTCTGGATCTGCCTGTCCTCTAGCTCAGGCTTCTAAAAGTATGTTCCTCATTCCATTCAAGATCAGACTGTTAAAAATGCTGCCTTATGAAAAAGCATCGACAACATGTCCACCTTAATGACTTAATGATGACCAGGCTCGCTCTTTCTCTCTGCCTCTCCGCTTTCTCCCATCAAAAGCAATCACAGTGACAGAACATCTGTCAGTCCTCAAATGACAACATAGATTCAAATGAAAAATGATTTTGCTTACACCTTTAATCATTATCAGTGTCCAATAAATTAGGTTACAGACTTACATTGAACAGTAAGAGGATTAAAGTTCTTACTATTGTAACTAAACCCTAATGTTAACAGGTGCACCTAATGATTATTTTCAGAGTAAATGATTATTTGAATCATTTGGTTTTAATGCAAGGTTTATTTTATTATGTGCATGAGTATTGCCTGTCCCTGAAGAAAATTTGTAGAAACAAGTTGAAAGATACACATCATTCTGTCATAGAAAACAATCACAGTTAGGGTTAGGGTGTGTTTCTTCCTTGTTGTGTGTGTGCGTGTGTGCGCACACACACATGCAAGCTCACATGCACACGTGCATTTGCAGCCATCTTAGTGATGACAGACTTCCAGGCTAAGCCCTCCCTAGGAAGAGAGTACTGCCAACCTCTCTTTCTAGTTTTGCTGCACACCTTCAGTAGCAGAAGGTTGTGGGTGACTCAGGAGTGAGGAAACCCATTGTGTCCTTCCTGGTCTGCACTTTCCCTGCATGTTGGACCCTCAAGTTTTATACCTGGCAGAGTAATTTGCATTTTTGACGGATTGGTCCTCAGATGGCACTTTTCAAGTTGGAGCAGTTCCCTAGTAGGTGTTAGCCAAAAGTCATGAGACAAGATGTCTATTACTACTTTGTATATATACTTGGAAACTTTCTGGTTGTTGACTGAGACTTGTTCCCATTAGCCTTATGTATTGGTCCCTGAAGTATGAGTTACAGATCCTAAGCCTGGGCACTGATGAGGAAGGAAAAGCTGCAGTTTACTTGGGAAGTACATTTAGTTCATCCAGTAAATAAACTAGGATCAGAATCACTTCTGGCTGCCCCCTCCCCCACCGTCTTTGTCGTTGAATAAACCCTTTTGTCCCTAGTAACAAAAAATCACAAAGTTGTGTTTCTGAAGGCTGTCTTGCTTCAGGAGAAAATATTACAAGATAGAATAAATGCTGTAAATGGTATGAATATACGCTATTGTGTAAAGTTCTATAGTGATAACTTTGAAAAAGAACCTTCAAAGTAATGTCAGCTTTAACAAAATGAAGAAACAGAGTTTTCATTCTTGTTTTTCTCCCTGAAGCTTCTAAGAGTTCCTAACCTACTGTTCCAAAGGGGCTTGCTCCTGGAGAGAGTAGTGCAAACATGGTCCTGGGGTTCCCAGCTGAAATCTTGGGGGTTTCTTCACATATCAGAGAAAAGATAACCCTCAGGTTGACTGTGCAAACATTGGAGCATTCACATGTCTGATGACAATGCCATGAAGTGACTGCAGAGTTTGATCCCAGAGCCAGATGTATATGGGGAGTCGTGCTGACCTGGGTCAGCCAGAATGAGGTGCCAATAGGAGGTGTCTGCTCTGTTAGAGTTCCTGAGGCTTGAACATGGTAACTAAAATGAAGAAAGACATCAGCTGCTCTGAAGCACTAACTGTTGTTCATTTGAATGACATTCCCCTTGGCCCTCCACCTGCTTTCTTACTGGTCTGGCCTACCTTCTTTCAGGCCCAGGCCTGGGAGTGCTTGCAAGATATAGTTGGGGTACAATGTTGACTTTTGGTGGACACCATGGAGTCACATTGATGCCGATCAGGCACATGGCTGTGGCAGGATTCAGCTCCTTCACTCATTTTCAGGTTAGTATGGCTGAGTCAACCTAGTTTGTAGATGTTCCCTTCCCACAGACTGAACTGGCAGCTTGAGACTGGGCTCACTCTTCCCCAGAGATATGGTGTTATGCCACATAGGAATACACTGTTGGATGGTGGACATGGCTGCAGTCATTGGGAGAACCAGGTGTAGTTATTTGTTTAATTATTCACACTTTTGTTTTTTAGACAACCCTTTCTTAGACAGTTTTCTTGGCTCAGGAGACTTAAGAACCTTTGGCCAGAGTGCCAATGGCCAGTGGAGAAATTCCACTCCCACATCAAGCTCAGCTTTACAGAAATCAAGAAACAGCCGAAGTCTTTACCTCGAAGCCCGAAAGACCTCAAGGTTCGTATTTTGTCTTGCTCGGCCCTTCCTCATATACAAAAGAAAATGGCTGTAAGGCGGTGGTTAAGTTGGCATTTTAAGGGAGGAGCACCCCTTTTGGCCTTCAACCCATAGATAAATATAAATAGACAAACCCTTTTCAGCCTTCAACTTTAGATTTATTTGGTGGTTGCTGAATCTGACCTTTATTAGAGAGGAGCTGGTTGAAGTCTTAGTGGCTTTTAGTATCCTGGGACCCTTAGGGTCACTATCGCTGTCAGTGGTTTTAAGGAGAAACTCAGTTCGTGTGCACTCTTGAGTAACAGAACGGCATAGCTCACATGTCCTCATGTAGCTGAGCCCTGACCCACACCTGCTTCCTGCACCGTGTGCCTTGGCCACCAAACCAAGCTGTTGTATCTGTCAGCCCAGAGGGTACTGCAGGGTGCTTCATCCCCATGACCTCGGTTGAGGTTGACCACCCACTTCTGTCTGTCTGCTTATCTTCCCCTTCTTCATTTCAGTTATTCATTACTCAGGAATGTAACTCACTCATATTGTGAAATGAAGACATGACTAACAAAGCTAAACACTAAAGACCCATTGGCCACTATTCAGTCTGATTCTGCTACCACCGTGTGTTTCCTTCTAACACCTTGCTTGTGCGTGTTTTCTTCCAACGTCTTGTTTGTTCATGTTTCTTTCCCATTCATGCAGTATGAGATCTATGCTGTGACTACTGTGAAGTGTATCATACCCTCTTGTCTTCATTCAAGATGTTCTTGAGGCATCACTCAGCAAGTGGCTTTTTTTTTTTCCTCAATAATGTCATACTTAAAAAAAAAAAATCAGCTTTATCTTACTTGACAGAGTTAAGAGGAGGGGGGGGGGAGAGAGAGTCAGAGAAAGAGAGAGCTTCTGTCCTTTGGTTCACTCCCCAGATGGGTGCAAGTGCCCAAGTCCTTGGTCATCTTTCATGGCTTTCACCAGTGGATTAACAGGCAGGTGGATTAGAAGTGGAGCAGTTGGAACTTGAACTGATTCTTGTATAGGATGCCAGCATCACCCACCTGCCCGAGTACTGTTACTTCTTAAGTTTTCATTATTACAGAAATAGCACATAGGCTTTGTTAAAAATTCACAAATAAAGATAAGCGAGCACAGAATAAAAACATCACATTTTTGCCAGCCAAATATCTACTCTATGGTAGTTTAGGACATATACTTCCAGGTAGTTCTCTGCTGTCACATACTTCCCCCTGCCAAAAAAAAAGAGCTTGTTACTATATATACTCCCATGTAATCTGCTTTTTCAGTGTTTCAATTCAGTAAGTTTTATCTGGTGTATACTATGTTTTAAAGTATTCTCTGCAGTTCATTTATCCTGTCTGGGTCTGCTTCTCATACTTACCTGCCCTGGAGTCCCTGGAGTCTCAGAGAACCCATTTTAAGATAACCTGACTCTTAGTTGTGCTGTACCTTTGGGATCTGAGACATGACTTAACTTGCTTATGGTATTATTTTTAAAGATTTGCTTTTTTTTTTTTTTAACTGGAAAGTCAGATACACAGAGAGGAGGACAGACAGAAAGATCTTCCATTTGCTGATTCACTCCCCAAGTGGCCAAATCTGAGCTGATCTGAAGCAAGGAGCTTCTTCTGGTTCTTCCACACAGGTGCAGGGTCCCCAAGGCTTTGGGCCATCCTTGACTGCTTTCCTGGGGCCACAAGCAGAGAGCTGGATGGGAGGTGGAGCTGCCAGGACACAAACCTGTTCCCAAATAGGATCCCAGCACGTGCAAGGTGAAGATTAGCTGCTAGGCTACTGCGCCAGGCCCCAGCCTGTGTTTTTGTAAATTAGATATTTGGCTTGATTTTAAAATGATGTAGTTACATCACACTGGAAAGCAGCTGACAGGCTGTTCAGGTTCTCCTGTCGTGGTGCTGTTAGATCAACCTCTGGCCCAGGGTGTGAAGTTGTGGACCTTTGTTACACAGCTGGGTTTTTCCAGAGTACTTGGGCCTTGTATGATGGCAGCTGTCTAATGGGTATTTAGGTCTGTTGGTAATCCTCACCTGCTTATAGTTGTATTAGTTAATAAAATGATGTTTTTCTAATTTTGTCATTTGTCCTTTATGAATTGGCCCTCTGATGACTTGTTCATTTGTTGAGGCTCTTGGTTACCCTGAAGTGAGCCCAGGGGTAAATGCAGAAAAAAAAATGACTAGATCTTTTCTATCAGCAATTTTCAAAGTACTTTTTTTAAAAAAAAATTATTTGTTTTTATTGGAAAGGCAGATATACAGGGAGGAGGAGAGATAGAATAATCTTCCGTCCGATGATTCACTCCCCAAGTGAGTGCAACGGCCAATTCTATGCTGATCTGAAGCCAAGATCCAGGAACTTCTTCCGGGTCTCCCACACGGGTAGAGGGTCCCAAGGCTTTGGGCCATCCTCAACTGCTTTCGCAGGCCACAAGCAGGGAGCTGGATGGGAAGTGGAGCTGCTGGGATTAGAACCGGTGCTCATATGGGATCCCATCGTGTTCAAGGCGAGGACTTTAACCACTATGCTCTTGTGCCGGGCCCTCAAAGTACCTTTTAAAAATAGTCACTCTGTTTGGTTCAGATGATTTTTTTTTTCTGTGCTTTTTCGAGTGTCATTATGGATTCAGTATGTTTCAGGCTACTTACTATTATTTCTTGAATGCTCTCCTTCTCATAGTTTTGACCTGTGAGAGCTTCCTTGAGGCTTGCCTCCCTGTCTAGCCCATCCTCATTAATTTGTACCCATAACCCTTGTTTCCTGGCATTGTAGAAGGCTCTTGAACTGTTTCTTTAGAGAAACATATGCTCACTCCGGTGACTGTGTGGAGACTCCATTCGGATTCCCCAGTGTAGTCAGGTTGCACTTGCTGTCTGCATCCTTCCTGAGATAATGAGCCTGTTCAGGAATTTGGAGTTGCTTAGCTTTCTCATTCTGCACACACACTACCACCACTACCATCATTGTCAGAGTAAAAATGCTTTTTGAGCTTCTTTAGATCTAATCTGACTGTGAGTCCAGACGAAATGTGATGATTTAGAAAGTAAATTTCATTGATTTCAGTTTACTTAACTGTTTATTTCTGTTTTTTTTCTTCTCATTAGAGAAAAAAAGAAAAGTTTATTCTCAGAGTATTCAGACTTATTAAATAATAGTACATACAAAAGAGCACTCAGAAAAAACGGAAAATTATTAAGCCTGTAGCTGAGACTGGGGTTTTGAATTCATACGGATATTTTCGTGCTAGTTTTTCCTGTTAGATAGGGTGCCGTCGTTTAAAGAAAGACAAAGTTCTTTCAAGAGTGAGCCACCAAGAAGACTTCAGAGTGAGGTACTGTGGCCTGCCAACGCCTCCAGCTGGGAGTCCAGCTGGTTTCTGAGGAAAGTCAGATTCAGTTTGAAGGCTTCTGGGAAGGGTTTCCATGTCACCCATTTTTGCGTATTTAATCGTGAAGTAATTCCTCTAAAGGGCTTAGGAAGGGCTACAGGGAGTCAGTAAAAATAGTCTGTGTGTGAAGCTTACTGGACCGAGGTCTGCGAAGACCTCAGCCTGGTGTGCCAGCTGCTGGCCCCAGACCCTAGCAGCTGGGCTGTAGATCCAGGAAACAGTTCTGTGTGTGATAATTATTTTGTAAAAACAATACCTCTTAAGTGTCAGGACCTGATCCATCAAGCCCATCTGCCATCTCTGATCTGTTCCCCTCAAGTGACAGGCCTGGCACTCCGTCCATTTGTTTCTGGTGGGTTTTTGTTTTTCGTTTCATGAAAGTGAAAATGACCACTGTATTAGATTTGCCTTTATGCTTCTCACAACCACCCTCCCCCCCCCTTTTTTTTTTCTTTTAGTGGATTATCAAACACTTTCACAGGGAAGTCAAACCATCACTGCCACGTGTCTGCATATGAAAAGTCTTTTCCTATTAAGCCTGTTCCGAGTCCGTCCTGGAGTGGTTTGTGTCGTCGAAGTCTTTTGAGCCCCAAGAAGACTCAGAGGCGACATGTTAGCACAGCAGAAGAGGTGAGGAGACCTACCCTCCCATAAGTCATCAGACCCTCTCACGTGGACTTCATTAGCTATTCTGACTAGTCAGCTCTTCTGGCCTTTTTCTTGATGGGAGTTTTTGAGTCTAGTCATTTTTTCTGAGGAATCAAGGAGATGTTTTAGCAGACTTTATATTCTTTATCCTGGTCTTGAGGACAGGTGTAACCATCTATGTTTCTGAATGGTTTCTCCAAGGTCGGTCCCACTCTCCTCTTTTTACACCCTTCCTAACTCCTGTTTATGTACCAGAACTGATAGCCTTGCTACAAAAAGTTTTGGGTTTTTGTTTTGAAGATTTTTATACTTATTTGAAAGGCAGAGCTGCAAGGAAGAGGCAGCGTCCATCCACTGGTTCATTCCCCAGTTGGCCACAATGGCCAGTTCTGGACTGCATTGAAGCCAGGAACGAGGAGCTTATCTGTGTCTCCCATATGGGTGGCAGGGTCCCATGCAATCGAGCCATCTTCCACTTTTTCCTATGCCATAAGTGGAGAGCTGGATCAGAAGTGGAGCCAGCCAGAGGCTCACACCGGCTCTCAGAGGAGATCCCAGTGTCTCAGTTGGCAGCTTAACGTGCTGTTCCACTAGAACTCCTATAAACAGTTTTTGTCTTGATAAAATTTGAATTGATAAAATATGTGCCCTTCTCACTAGGAAAACTGTTTCCTCAGTGTAAAAGGAAAGACAGGACATTACCACAGTGGATGGGTGTCATGGTGGCCACAGCTGATGAACCCTTCTGCTGCATCAAGAACCACTGTGTTAGGTGCCTCGAGAGTTGTTGTTATCCCAGAAGCTGGGTTGTGCAGTTACAGCAGCAGTCAAGTGGCAGCATAGAAGTGGTTCTCTTCAGTTGCATGTTGTTTCCAGATACACTGCTCTGCAATTCCTTGGTCCTTCATTCAGTTTTAGAATGTGACATTCTGCTTCCTATTCAACACTTTTTTTTTCTTTTTTTTAAGATTTATTTCTTTTTATTGCAAAGTCAGATATACAGAGAGGAGGAGAGACAGAGAGGTAGATCCTCTGTCCGATGATTCACTTCCCAAGTGGCCGCAGTGGTTGGTGCTGTGCCGATTTGAAGCCAGGAGCCAGGAACTTCTCCAGGTCTCCCATATGGGTACAGGGTCCCAAGGATTTGGGCCATCCTTGACTGCTTTCCCAGGCCACAAGCAGGGAGCTGGATGGGAGGTGGAACTGTTGGAACACAAACTGGCGTCCACATGGGATCCCAGAACTGGCGTCCACATGGGATCCCAGCGCGTCTAAGCAGAGGACCTTAACCACTATGCTATCGTGCTGGGCCCCCAAAAAACTTTAATTCTGTAAGGAATGATCCTTTCCTTTATAACACTTGATTTCTACACAGGTTGTGTGTGACATTTCAGCTGACTTTCCTTTTTTGAGTTTGTGATAATTTCAAATAGTTTGTGAGTATATTCTCTTTTTAAAATTGCCTAAACTATCTTTGATTCTTAGACTGTAATGTACCCAGTATTATTTGTTTTAATAAAAACACCAAAAAGAAGAAAAGTGCCTCGCACTGTTAGAGAAGATCCTGTGACCTCTACATTAAAACAGAAGCCAGTGAGAACTTTCTCACGGTTCACACTTGATGAGACTGGGGGATGCAGATACTGTTCCTGTTGGCTTAGTGACTCAAAGTGGTGGACTCAGCTTTGCCTTGAAAGTTCGTTTATTGGTGGAAAGACGGTGTATGTTTAATTAGCTTTTACGTTGGATTTTTAAGTTTTTTGTTTATTCAAAAAAATTTAAAGATTTACTTATTTTTATTGGAAAATCAGGGTCACAGAGAGAAGGAAAGACAGAGAGAAAAATCTCCCGTCTGCTAGTTCACTCCCCAAGTGGTTGCAGTGGCCAGAACTGAGCTAATCTGAAGTCAGGAGCCGGGAGCTTCTTCTGGGTCTCCCACACAGGTACAGGGTCCCAAGACCTTTCTTGACTGCTTTTCTAGGCCACAAGCAGGGAGCTGGAAGGAAAGCGGAGCAGCCAGGACATGAACCAGCACCCATGTGGGATCCCAGCGCATGTGCAAGGCAAGGACTTTAGCCGCTAGGCTATTATACCAGGCCCTACATTGAATTAATTTATCAGCATTTCAAACAGCAAAATTAGAGAAGTGTTGGTAACTTCTTGTGATTGATGTCTCTGAGAGTAACAGAGGCCCTTTCTATTTTAGTTTTCTCGGGCTTTTCCTAAGTTCTTATACGATGGGATTTTTTTCGTTCCCTTGGTATCCTGTGACAGCGTCTGTCCACTTTGCTCTCCTCTGTTACCTGATGGGCACGGCAGTGGATGTGAACTAAAATGCTTGGTTAGTGTTGTTCATTTCCATGACCCTCCTCATTACTTGTTGTTGGCCCTTGGTGTGTAATTATGTTACTTTTTGTAGTGAGGAGGTAGAGTCCATGTTAGGGTGGGGTGTTTTACATAATTCCATTCAGTAAAGTGCCAGATAGCATTGCCTTTCTGCCCATAAATCATGGTCAACTCAGTTGACAGACATGTCTTTCAACCTCTCAGTCTGCAATGATGCTTCATTTTACTGTCTGTTTAAAGAATCTTTGTATTGACAGAACAACAGAAGAGAGATGTCTCATTCTTTTGTCCATTCTCCAAGTGCCTCACAACTGTCAAGGCTGGGCAGGCCAAAGCCAGAAGCCCAGAATTCACTCCCACTCTTTAAGGATGGCTTGCAGGAACTCAGCCATCTGATCTATCCCCTTGCCACACAAGGGAACAAAGCAGGAATCTGGGTCCCAAGCAGAATGACAGCTCAATCTCAGGCCATCTGCTGTAAAGTACAGGTGTACCAGCTTGGGTCTGACCTGCTGCACTGTAGCACAGCCCCTAGCTCATCCTTTTCTTGTCACGTAGCTAGTCAAGTAAGATAAGTCTTTCTCTTAGGGGATTGTAATGTAGCAAAATACATGTGCAGATAAAGAAAAAAACCTACCTTTATATACTCAAATGTTTAATTCATTTCTGCTTCTAAAAGCACAACTGGAGTTGGCAGTGCAAGTTTCTAATTTTGGAACAATGTTCAAAATCATTTGCTGTATTAATGTAGGCAAAGAACAAAGTACTGGAGCCTGTTAATCACTCTTTGGGGCCCGGCGCGGTGGCACAAGTGGTTAAGATCCTTGCCTTGCACGCCCAGGATCCCATATGGGCGCCGGTCTATCCCGGCTGCCCCGCTTCCCTTCCAGCTCCCTGCCTGTGACCTGGGAGAGCAGTCGAGGACGGCCCAAGGCTTTGGGACCCTGCACCCTCGTGGGTGACCCGGAAGAGGCTCCTGGCTTCGGTCCGGCATAGCATCGGCCGTTGTGCTCACTTGGGGAGTGAATCATCAGACGGAAGATCTTCCTCTCTGTCTCTCCTCTCTGTATATCCGCCTTTCCAATAAAATAAAAATAAAAATAAATCTTTAAAAAAAAAGAAATCACTCTTTGTCTCAGGAGTTCAGGGCACACTTCATTGCTGTGCGTCTTCGAGGAATCTGCTGTGTGGTCTGTCTGCTCTGCCTTTTCTTACAGTCCTTGCTGCTGCTTGCGCATGCACAGTGAACACTTCCCTTTCACAGCTTTCCACTTGCTCTTCTTCTACCTGAAATCCTTCCTTATGTACTTCTGTAACTTACTATTGGTACACCACCTTGTACAGGGCTGCCTCACCCATTCTTGCTGGTTCCTTTCGTCGCTCTCTGCTGCCCGCCATTCCCTTTGCCTGTCATCTGATCCCCACAGGATTGGAGCTTTGTTGTATTCAGTGCGGTGTCACTGACAATTGGAGTTTGTTGAGTGTCACTGTGAATATATGAAGGTCAGGGCTATAGGATATTTCCCAAACTTAACATTGAGGCTTAAACAGGAACAGAAAGTTCTTTCAAAAGTTTATGCCAAAAAAAATTAGAAGACAGGATTATTTTGGTGCAAAAAAAGTTTTAAAATCCATGCAGTTTTGTTTTTAATTTTACTTTTAATATTGTTTACATAGTTGAGAGGGATACATGCCCTTTGGGCCTCTGATAAGGTTGTGGGATGGTCAGGTATGGAGGGAGGTGGATGGGATACATTTTTTCCTGTGTCCTGCTGTCAAATTACATCAGCACCGGGAATGGGGAATGGTCCTTTGATGACAATTGTAGATCCCAATGTGGGAAGGTCTTGCAAGGGTGTTACTTGAGTGGTTTTGATAACCTTGAAATGTTGTTAGTTTCATTGCTCTGGGGTTGAAGATGTTTTTCCCAAGTCTACTGGTTGACAAAGTCCACTTCAATGCAGCCATAGAGACCCAGGAATATGCTGCAAAGCTGGGTCAGAAGAATTGTCCAACCTGTCCTGCTTTCGATACTCTGATGTGGCAGTTAACATCCCCTGCTTGGTTAGATAAACTGGCTGCCATGTCCTTTTTTGTGCAACTGAACATGATGTCCACTGCACGGACATCAGCAGCTGAGAAGGCACAGTCTTGATATATGCATTCCAGGGTTGAACTATACATCCTGTGATTGTCTCTGTGGCCAGGATCTTGAATCCCAAAAGAAACCTCACCTCGAGTAACTTCAGATTTGACGCTAGTATGCACCAGCCAGTGCAAGCTTTGGTCTGTTACTTGTACTAGCTAATACACATACCAGTGGATGTAGCTGCCTAGTCAGTTCTGCCTCATATTTTACTCAAACTGACAGGCGCAATGGCTCAGCACAGCCAACCCATCACAGAGCCAGTCCTCAGGCATAACAGTGGGTGTCATGGCCTAGTTGGGTGACTCCCAATAATCCCCACAAGGCCTGACCCCAGACCTGGTTGTTGTGGATGCCAGACTTTGCTGTGACCTAGCCTGGACAGTGCACATCTTACCCTGCTCTTGTGTACACCCATGGGTGCTGTGACTTAGCCTGACCCATCCCCCAGAACCAGCTCTCACGTATGCCAACAAGTGTTGCTTCCTTGTCCAGTCTGGCCTGCCCTAACCCTGGTTCTTATGTTCAGCAATAGATACAGTCCAGAGGAGTGCCCACAGTTCCCCACAAGGCATATTACTAGTGCCAGATCTTGTACCTGCCAGGGGATACTGCAGTTCAATATAGGCACTTACCAGCTGGTGCTACAGCCTAACTTGGCTGCCTCACAGTCATTCTGGCTTTCATGCATGCCAGCAGGTGTAGCAGCCTAGCCAAGCCTGGGCCCTCCCCAATCCCAGCTCCTATACTCACCAATGGAGCAGCAGGCCAACAAAGGAGTCCACATAGTTCCCCTACCAGGCCCACTTCTAGCCCCAGGTCTTGCATTATGTGCCATCAGGTACTACAACCTAGTCTGAGATGGCCTGCCCCCAGTCTTAGCATTCACCAGCAGGTGCTATAGCCTAGCTTAGCCCAGCCCACCCCCCAGCTCTCATGTGAACTCACAAGTATTGAGGGCCCACTCAGCCTGATCTGCACCTGTCCTGGCTCACACTTGTGCCGGTGTGTACTGTGGACCCTGCCCAGCCACCCGGCCTCAGAACTAACTCATACATGTGCCAACAGGTGCTGCAGCCAAGCTGGCCTAACCTGCTCCCAGCCCTGGCTCTTGTGCTCAACAGCTGGAGATATACCAGCAAGAGATTTCCCTAAGTTTCCCTACTATGCTTGTTTCTAGCCCTGAATCCAATGTGTGCCATCATGTGCTACTGCCCAGACTGACATGGCCAACCCCCAGTCCTGGCACTCACCAGTGGGTACTGTGGCTTAGCCTGACTGGCCCACACCTATTCTGACACTTGCGAGCACCAGTGGGTGCTGGAGCACAGCTCAGTTTGACCCACCTCTAAACCCAGCCTACATGCATGTCAGTAGGTGCTGCAGGCTTATCCAACCTGCCTCAACCTGCCACAATCCCAGGCTCTTGCAGCTGTAGCCCAGCAGGGGAATCCCCAGAGTTCCCCTACCAGGTTCATTCCCAGCCCTAGGTCTTGCGCATGCTAGCAGGTACTTCAATTCAGCCTGGCATAGCCCACCCGTAGTCTCAGCTCTCCTAGCAGGTGTGCAGTCCAGCCCAGCCAGGAGTAGTTCACATCCTGTTCTGGCTCTCTTGCTTGCCATCTGGTGCTAAGATCTAGCCCCAGACACAGGCCATATTTCTGGCCTGGCCCACCCTGAGTCCTGGCCCTGGTGTTCCAGCCTAGCAGGAGAGTTTTTCATAAGTTCTCCTACAAGGCCTACTCCCAGCCCTGGATCTCAAGCATGTCAGTAGGGGCAGCAGACCTGCTTGGCACAGTGTATCCTCAGTCCTGGCTCTTGCTAATGGGTGCTGCAGCCTATCCCACCAGGCCTTATCCCATTCTCAGGCCTCATGAGTGTCAGGTGGATTCCTGTCAGGTGTATTCTGTGATCCAGCCTGACTTGGCTTATCACTGCCTCAACTTGCCACGTAACCCATGCAGTGCTGCAGTCCCATAGAAGTGAGCCCACAAGTCCTCTACGGAATCTGTCCCCAGATCTGATTCTCTTGCATGCTAGTAGATGTTGTGGCCCAGCCTGACTTGACCACCCGGTGCAGTACCACTACTCACAGGTGGGTACTGCAGCCTAGCATAGCCAGACATCCCCTCCACCCAAGCTTTTGCAAGCACCAGTGGGCAGCACAGATGCTATTTAACCCAGCCCAGTTATTCTACATAGGTGAGTGTGTCCTGGTGTGATCCAGACATGCCCTCTGATTCCCCCTTTCTAAACCACTGTGTCAGTTCCTCTGCCCACCTGCAAGTGCAGTGTCCTGGTCGGTGGAAGTCCCCAGAAATCATCCCTTCTCTGTCAAACATGCCCTTAGCCTCTCTCCAATACATCCCCAGGTCCCTTTTCTAGGCAATCTGCAGCTCCCCTCACCTGGGGGCTTCAGTGATATAGCCCAGTCCAGAACTTCCCCACTTACTAAAAAAAAAAAAAAAGGAAAAGAATAAGCCACTGTTCTGGCGCACTGGTGTAGTTAACATAAATTTAGCATTAGCCAAACCCAGAATGACCACCCAGCTATTGGCTGCTTTTTTCCCAGCAGTGTAACATTTGCCTAGGTACAAGGTCACCTAGACAGTTGCCTACAGGTAGAGCATAGTTTTTTTCTTTTTCATAATTAGTACTTTCATGAACTTTGAAGGTCTCATGGATTTTAGACTTCATTTTTAAAAGAGTTATTATTTGAATAGCAGAGTTACAGAGAGAGGAGAGGGAAAGTAATTCTCCATCCACTAGTTCACTCCTCAGATGACTCCTCAGTAGCCAGTGCTGGGCTGGTCTGAAGCCAGGAGTCAGGAACTTCTTCTGGGTCTCCACATGGGTACAGGACCTCAAGAATGTGAGCTATCCTCTGTTGCTTTCCCAGGCTACAAGCAGGGAGTTGGACTGGAAGTGGAACAACTGGGACTTGAACTGGCACACAGTGTGGGATGCTCAAGCCACAGTTGGTGGCTTTACCTGCTGTGGTATAGCACAAGTTGCGAATTTCACACTTTTGTGGCAAAATGAGTTTAATGTTCTGATGAACTTTTTGAAATGCTTTTGCAAGTGCTGGAGGTGCATGCCACCTGGAAGGTCCCTGTGCTCAGATAGGGTAGGGAGCTGTTGGCAAGCTGTTCTGAGCCACATGATCACTTTGCTTGCTTCGTTGTTTTTGTAATGGGATGCCAGGAAGCAAGGGATTTGTTTGGGTCTTTGTGTGGCCCTCATGTGGTTTCATTCCTGGACTTGGTCTTTGGCCTTGTGGTTTGATGTCCTGTGTTCTGGTCCCACTCTCAGGAGGGTAGTTTCCCGCATTGTTTCCACTGTCACTGCCTCCACTCTGCTTACGCATACTTGATCATGCTCTGGAGTACCCTTAATGTACGTTAGTTCTCAGTAACGTCAAGGCTCTGCTGGACTCTTGGCCAACCTTCGGGGACTCCATCTGGTAGTTCCTTTGAGCAGCATTTCCCTTGTTGGATTGTGTAAAACTTGTTTTCTCTTACAGACGGTTCAAGAAGAAGAAAAAGAGATATACAGACAGCTACTGCAGATGGTCACAGGGAAACAGTTTTCTGTAGCAAAACCTACCACACATTTTCCTTTGCACTTGTAAGTCACAGAAGGATATTGCAGATTAATTTTATTTCAGAGTTTGTTGCCCAGAACTCAGACTATATTCTTCTTTTGCTAGGTCTCGGTGTCTTAGTTCCAGTAAGAACATTTTGAAAGACTCACTGTTTAGAAATGGGAACTCTTGTGCATCTCAGATCACTGGCTCTGACTCTTTATCCTCCGGATCTGCCAGTGTGATCACTACCCAGGAGCAGCTGCCCCACGGTGTGTCTGCCCTCTCCTCTTGTACCCCTAATGTTGGTACATTTGGATCCAAAGATTCCAACCGTCTTCATCAACCCCTCCGGCAGCACTGTCTTCCACATCAACCAGACAACTTACCAGCTTCAAATTCACAATCTGAAGGTAAAAATGATGTTGTACTGCTCCATTGTTAGCCTAAGGGCCAGTTAATTGTTCATTGGGTCTATGATAGCTTTGTAATTGACATGTCACTTAGCCAGTGTGTAAGGTACTTGGATTGCAATTAATTCAGCTACCGTTGCCAAGAGTAGACTAACATTCTGCCTAAAGACAGTAAGGCACTGATTTTTTTTTTTTTTTGACAATCTTTACATAGGTAATTAGGGTAAAAAGGTTCAAGGGCTACAAGAAAGTGGATAAGACTAGTATTTTTTTCCATATTGTTTCCTTCATGTTTAAAGGGGGGTATTAAGGGAGAAGGCCCACCCAATTTCCCACCCTCCCCAGGTCCTGAATGTAGGGCATGCTCTGAGGATCTTGCTCAAGTGGTTTTGATATTGCAACAGTTACGAATCACTGCCAATCTTGCCACTCCGAGCACTATGAGTTCTTTGAAAAATCCACTGATTGACATAGTCCATCATAGCTGAGATGCTTGGTTGACCTGTTCTGTCTTCTCTCTTTTCTTGGTTAGGGACTGATTTGATACAATATTTTAAGAAGCCATTCAACACTACTGCTTCAGCACTTTGTTTTGTTTTTGTTTGTTTTTGTTGTGTTTAAGATTTCTTTATTTTACTTGAGTTACTAAGAGAGAGGGAGAGCAAGAGAGAGATCTTTGATTTGCTGGTTCACTTCCCATATGTCCGCAACAATCAGAGCTGAGCCAGTCTAAAGCCAGGAGCCAGGAGCTTCCTCTGCATCTCTTATGTGGGTGCAGGGATCCAAGTACTTGAGCCTTCCTCTGCTGCTTTCCCAGGTTATAAAGTGGATTAAGCAGAGTGGCGAGGCTCAAGCCTATATCCATTTGAGATGCTGTCACCACAGGAGTAACTTGCTATGCCACTGTGCTGGTCCCTGTTTTTGTTGCTTTACAATGAAAGTTAAGTGCTCTCAATTTCTGGAACTTTTGAAACAGCGAGTGAATATTGAATTGTAAATACTTTAGTATAGAGTGTTTATGAGTCTCAGAAAAGTTGTGAGCCAATTGAAACTTTAAGCTAACTGGATTATTTAATCTCTTAGCTTTACAGTTAATTAAAATTTTGTTGTGCTGGCCTTCTTAGTTTTCTCCTTTGGACACATTATGTGTGTATTTGTGGTATGTGTGCACAGAAGGAGGTGGTGTTGGGACCTGTACATGCAGCACCCTATCAGATGCTCTTCCTGCCTCTATCACCTTCTGAAAATTCTCATTTAGGGATTAAAATTTCTGGTGGTATCACACATATCCATGAAAACTTGTATTATATTTTGTGACGTGATTGACTAAGAATCAAGAGCGCTGCTGAATGTCCTGAGTGTGCTTTGTGTGGCAGGTGCTTGAATGCAGCTGGATTGGAGCTTACACACTGCATTGCACTGTCCATTGTCTCCTTGTACTGTTTGGTAAATACTCTGATAGCACTGTGGGTTTCTTATCTTTGAGGAGCATCTAACATAGAAAGCCAATGATAGAATGATTAAAGGCTGTGCTGCTTTTTTTAAAGATTTAATTTTTATTGGAAAGGCAGATTTAGAGGGAACAAAAGACAGAAAGATGTGTCTGCTGGTTCACTCCCCAGATAAACACAATGGCCATAACTGAGCCAATCATGAGCTGGGAGTGTCTTCTGGGTCTCCCATGCATGTGTTAAGATCCCAAGGATGGGCTGGCAGCGTGGCCTAGCTGCTAAAGTCCTAGCCTTGAACACGCCGGGATCCCATATGGGTGCTGGTTCTAATCCCGGCAGCTCCACGTCCTATCCAACTCCCTGCTTGTGGCCTTGGGTAAGCAGTCAAGGTGGTCCCAAAGCCTTGGGACCCTGCACCCATGTGGGATACCCAAAAGAAGTTCCTGGATCCTGGCTTCGGATCGGCATAGCATTGTCCGTTGCACTCACTTGGGGAGTGAATCATTAGACAGAAGATCTTCCTCTCTGTCTCTTCCTCCTCTCTTTTCAATAGATAAATAAATCTTAAAAAAAAAAAAAAAAAAAGGATCCAAGGACTTGGTCCATCCTCCACTACTTTCCCAGGCCACAAGTGGGGAACTAGATGGGAAGTGAAGCAGCCATGACATAAAGTGACACCATATGTGAGCCCAGCCCTAGCAAGGGGAGCAGTAGCCAATTGAGCCATCGTGCCGGGCCCTGCACTTTTTCTAAAAACAAAAAAAAAAAGATTTATTTTTATTCAAAAGGCAGATTTAAAGAGAGAGAGTGAGCTTCCATCTGCTGTCTAACTGCCCAAATGGCCTCAATGACTTGACCTGGGCTAGTCTGAAGCCAAGAACTCAGTCCTGGTCTCCCATGTGGTTGCAGGGACCCAAGCACTTAGTTCAGTGCCTGAGACTTGAACTGGCATGCTCATGTGGGATGCTGGTGCTACAGGCAGAGCCTAACCTACCATGTCAATTCGGCCTCAAAATCTGTGCTAGTGACTCTTTCTGTTATGTTGTTTCTTATTCTTCCTCCTTCCCCTTCCCTCTACATCTCTTCTTGCACCCAATTCAGTCTCATATCAGCGGTGAGCTCAAGTCTTTGATGAAATCCTGGTGTGTTCTCCGTTAAGGTAGTTTCTGGCCTCCTGTCCCTCACTCTCCCACCCTACCCTTGTCCTTAGGTGCTCTGCTGCTGTTATGTCCCAAGGGTATCACAGTTCTGGAGACAGAATGTAACCAAGTCTGAAAACTCAGGCTAAGATGTGTACAAAGTATTTCTGTTGAGTTTTATTAGTAATGAGATGCTCTGTCTTTGATCAGGATCAGACTCTGTGATTTTACTCAAAGTGAAAGACTCCCAGACTCCTGCTCCCAGGTAATTTTGGAAGATCTTGCTGTTTTCCCTTTCTTAAACCATGTCTTCTTAACTAAAAGTTACATAACAAAAGTAAAACTGCTTCTGCTATGTATCATTGGGATCATTTCAATGACTTTCTAATTGATGGTCCATCTTGCAGACAGAGGGAGCTTTCTAAAACTGCTGCCTGGTGATTTGATAACTGTGTTTAATGGTGACCTGCTAAATTCCTTCAGGGGTAGCTCATCAGATGTAGAGTTAAGACCAGACTCAAGAATGGCTGTGAAAAGCACTTCCACCGTAGGCCTCCCTTTGTGTCTTGCATCCTTAGTGAATGTTTACTGATGCTGGTGTAGACATGAGAGTGACAGCAGGATGGAGGAAGTCTTAGCAAGTACTAGAGGACCAACACGTGAGGGGCTTCTGAGAGGTCATGCAACATGTCCTGTGAGAGAACTCTGCAGAAATTCCCAAGTTTGTACCAAAATAAATCCTGAGTCCTTTATCCTGCATCCTAGAAGTGCAGTAGGTAACACTGTGCAGCAAACAAGCAGAGTATAGGATCCAGGAACATTTGAGCAGAGATTTGACAGGGATGAGATAGGAAAGCTGTGTGGATATAGAGGACTCTTTCTCTCTTCTTTCCTTCTCTTCCCTTTCCTGTCCTCTCCTTTCCTTCCTTTCTTTTTTCCTTACTCACTCCCTTCCTTTCTTCCATTTGTTTCTTTCTTTCTTGTTTCCTTCCTTCCCTTTCCTATACACTCTTCATCTCTCCTCCTTTCCTTCCCTTTTCTTCCTTTTTTTCCTCCCTCCCTCCCTTCTTTCCTTCCTTCCTTCCTTTCATTTATTTTGACAGGCACAGTGACAGATCTTCCTTGTTTTGATTCATTGTTCAAATGCCCACAACAGCCAGGGCTACACCAGGCCAAGACCAGAACCCAGAATCTCCTTCAGTCTTCACATGGAAGCGTCAAGTACTTGAGCTATTGTCAGTTGCCTCCAGGTGTGTAAGTGGGACGGCGGATTTGGCAGCAAAGAATAGCCAGGATCAAACCAGTCTCCAACTTAGGATGTAGACATCCCAGGCAGCAGCTTTACCTGCCGTGCCATGACAGTTACCTCAGGGTGTAAATATAGGATGTGCTTTCTTGCCTTGATTTTCGGTGTTCCTCTGCCTGGAATATCTTTTCTCCACTGGTTTGTCTGTCTGTAAATAGTCTCCTTTTGAAGTCTCTGTTCAGATATACACTTTTCAATAGGAAGCCTGACTTCTCTGGGAGGGGTTCAGGAGGCCACCACTCAGATGGCTGAGTTTTCCCTTGAGAAGATAAGCAATAACCCTAACCATCATTGTCATTTTAGTTCCCCTACTTCTTGGAAGCTCCCATACATGTTCTGAGTGTTTAATATATTTTGAAAAATCTGTATTCGTTAAGTCAGGGAGTTGTTACTGTTGGGTTTCTTTATTTTTTACTTGCTTGCTGGAGTCAGACTTGGCTGCTATTCTTGGCCTCATGTAACTTTGATAGGGGAATTGAAGATAATAGGTTCCCATAACCTCAGTCAGAAGGGAGGCCATAAAAGAATGTTTCTGCTAACCAGATTCCAGACACAGAAAGGCTGGGAATGGAACTTAAAAAGTTACCCTCAAAAAAAAAAAAGTTCCCTTCACAGGAACAGGTTTGAAAGATATGAGAACTGAAAGGGACTCTAATCACTGTCCTTTACAAATCTGGAAACCAGGGCCCATGGAAGGGCAATCATAAAGCTAACCGGGGTTGACTCCAGAGCACCAGATCTCTAAACACCCAGTCTGATATTCTGTTCATCATCATGTTCCATTTGCACTCCTCTTCCTTTTGTTTCTGTGGCATATCCCTTAGCTTGGGAGTTGCAAGTTGAGGAAGTTTGAGAAAAGCAAAGATGCTGGTACAGTTTGCTCTTGTGGCTGCCAAGTGTCAGGTTACTTGGGCTGTCCACAAATGAGAGCCCTGGGGAACATAATTGGCCTTTGCCTTGGGATGAAAGCATACATAGTGCTTACCCCCTGCCCTGACTCATGGGGGGGGGGGGCGCGTGATTGTGTGGGTAGGGATTTTGTGATGTGTTTGGTTGAGTTAGACCAGCAAGAAACCTAAAGAACCTGAGCGCATCTGTCTGCCATGACCTGGGGATGAATACCATTGTTACTGGACGTCTTCTCTGGCATGAGGACTGCTGTGCTGTGTGAGCAGGTCAGCGTTGCCTGCATGAAGGGTTTTGCCAAGCTGGAGGTGTCTGCTGAGCTTTGGATCACCTTTTCATTGACGTTGATGTAAATGAATACTGTTTATAGCCATTATTTCTTGATTATGTCACTGAGGTCACTTGTTCCATACTTGTGAACATTCTTATAAACTGCTTGAGTTTATAAGTTTATAGTTTATAAACTATTTGAGTTTAAGCTGGTGAAATGTGTGGATTTTCTCATAAGCCTCTTGCTCATTTTTCGTATTCTCTTCCCCTCTCCCCTTCCATAGCCCAACTTTCTTCCAGGCAGAGCTGTGGATCAAAGAATTGTAAGCAATTTTTAATTTTTTTTTCCTTCTCCGTCACTTCATTTTCATTTAGCAGAATTCCAGCACTTACCCTGCTTGTTTTCAGTCAGTGAGAATGATCTATTGTTGAATCTTAAAGTTGTTATGTTTTAAAGATTCTGTTGCAAATGGGATAGTGTTTATTACAGCTATAACAATTGTTGAAACTAAATTGAATTGGAAGATATTTCAAAATCAGCTATTACATAGGAAGGAAAGTAAATGAATTTTCTAAATCTCCTGATCTTACAAAATTTTTTTAAATTAAAATATAGCATTTACACTAAAGCCTCAGTGCTGCTTTCTGTGATTTTCTCCTTCAGGTCTTCTCCTATTTGTGTGTTTCTAAAAAGAAACTGTACTTTTAGCATAATCTTGGAAAAGTCATCTACTTTTAGTCATCCACATTTAGCAGCAAACTAATGTTCATAATTGTTTCCATAGAAATGATAGGATAATTGAAGTTATGCTATGTAGCTTCATGTGGCTTAAATTTTAAGTGTGGTGATAGATTAGCACGAGGATTTCAGGCATCTGTGTCCATGCTGAGTGTTTAATATTCCCTATGTATATATAGTGTGTTTGCTTCTGTGAGAGAAACAAATTTTGCTTCTCTTCCCTTTTCATTTCCCAGAACCAGTGTGTATGACTCTCGAGCACGGGAAAGGTTACGCCAGATTGAAGAGCAGAAAGCACTGGCATTGCAGCTTCAAAACCAGGTAAAAAAAAAAATGGAATAAGATTACAAATAAATAGCATCTTCCACACTTTTGTGGAAGAATTCCTCAGGTGTGGATCACTTGGTATTGTTATTGAGCGGCATGTTATGTCTGACTAGTCAGTGCCATTCAGTGTGTGAGACAAGTAATGGATGTGTTGATCCACTCAGTGCTGTTCGGAGTGTGTGACAAGTAATGGATGTCTTGATCCCGCTCAGAGGCTGCAGGAGCATTCAGTTCACGATGCAGTAGAGCTGCATCTTCGTGTGCCTCTTGAAAAGGAGATTCCTGTCACAATCGCCCAAGAAGCAGAAAAGAAAAGTCATAAAGGAACTGATAGTGAAGATGAATTTCCTGAAATTACAGAGGTAAATTACATAATGTGAATTCCTGTACCAGAAAGTACAATGTCTAGAAAGAATGCTTGGGGACAATGTCAAACATACAGGTACTCAGGGTTCAAACCTGCCAGCAGGCCCCAAGGCAGAGGTGTTCTTCAGCCATAAGAACCACTGGAGACAAGCTGGTGAGGAATGACTGCTTTATTATGCACAAGTTATAGATTTTAAAGGTTAAGGAAGGGGATGACAGGAGGCCGCCTTCTGCAGGCCTCCCACCCACCAAACACTGTAATTGGCTATATGACACCTCTATTTCTCTTGACTTTCTGTCTTGTTAAAGGTCATGTTCCACATGTGTTCCCCTTGACCTTCTAGTCATGTTGGAGGTAACACTAATGACCTAGTCATGTGTAGGCCTTGAAGCTGTGCCTCAGGTCATGGGCAGGTAAGCTCTAAGCCATGCCTACCAGGTAGCAGGCAGGGACCCAGAGACAATTGCCCACATCTCCTCCCTCTGCTACTTCAGTGTTGTTGCATATGCCTACTTTTCATTTGTGTTACTTAGCTTTATTTTTAAAGAATCATTGAAAATTGATAAAAGAATTTTGAGTTGTTTTTAGCAAATTCAGTGGAAAAAACACTTCATTTCCTGTGTGCTTTTACTTTTGGGTATATACAATAGCTTACCATCAAGTTGTAACCTGAAATTTGCTGTTATTTTTTAGTAACAAAACCTCATCATAGAAAATTTGGGAAATACGTAAAAGTGTACATTTAAAAATAATGTTTATTAATCCATACTTTTCTTTGAAAAACTCCCTACTTTGCATTAAAAAGGCTTTTTCCAGAAAGTAGTATCTAAAACTTACTTTCTTTTTTAAGACTTAGTTGTTTATTTGAAAGGCAGAACAACAGAGACAGAGAGATCTTCTATCCACTGCTTTATTCCCAAAGTGACTACAACAGCCAAATCTGGGCTAGACTAAAGCCAGGAACCAGGGAGTCCATTCTGGTCTCTCAGTGCGTGGCAAGGACATAGGTGTTTGAGTAGTTATCTGTTGCCTTCCCCGGCATATCCAGTAAGTTAGACTGGAAGTGGAATAGCTGGGACTCAAGCTCCCTTAATCCATCACACCACCACAGCAGATGCCTAAAATATGTCTGCAAACTGCCTGCAGTGAAAGCCTCTGTTTGTCAGGAGATCATTGAAGCTAAATGTAGAAACTGTAGTCAGGTTGTCTTGTGGGCTTAGACCATTCTATAGAAAATTTAGACTATAGGACTTAATTTGAAACAGGGTCTGAATGCTGTTCTGAAAAATAGAAGGAAGGCCCAGATGGGTTGGAAGGTGTATGAACCAGAATTTTAAATGGAAGTATATTGAAGAATAATAAATTGATAAACAATTGCTAAGGGCTGAGTATAGTCTGTGGGTCTTGCGTGGCTGGGTAAAAAGCCTGGTTGTCCAAAGCTGTGTGCTTGTATGTTTGATCTCTGACACCTTCTTGTTTCCTTAGGAAATGGAGAAAGAAATAAAGAGTGTGTTCCGTAATGGCAACCAGGATGAAGTTCTCAGTGAAGCATTCCGCTTGACTATTACCCGCAAAGATATTCAGACGCTGAACCATCTGAATTGGCTCAATGATGAGGTATTTCTAAGTTGTTTGTTTTTAAGATTTATTCATTCATTACAAAGTTATAGAAAGATCTTCCATCAGCTACCCCAAATGTCCACAATAGCTGAATATGGACCAGTCTAAAGCCAGAAGCCAGAGGTCCAGGAGCCCAAGGCCTTGGGTAATCTGGATTGGAAGTGGAGCTGCCAGGACTCAAACCAGCGATCATACAGGGTGTTGGCAACACAGACAGAGGGCTTAACCTACGAAGTCATATTGTCATTCCCCTCCACGTTTATTTGTTTATTTATTTTTTATTGTTAATAGCATTGTATTATGTGATACAGTTTTTTAGGCACTGGGATTCCCCACAGCCCTCCCCCCGTGGTGGATTCCTCCACCTTGCTGCATAACCACAGTTCAAGTTCAGTTGAGATTCCTTCATTGCAAGCATATACCTAGCATAGAGTCCAGCATCTTATTGTCTAGATAAGTTCAGCGGCTTCTTGGTGAGACCTTCTCTGGTCTGAGGGTAGAGCTAACAGAGTAAAGTCCCAGTCTGTTAAAAGCCCCAACAAAACATCAGCACACATTTATTTTTATAAACAAATAGTAAGTGAACATGAAGTAGAAATAAATTTAGATATTCTCTGTTTGTTAGGGTGTGGTCCTCAGATGACCTGCCCAGAACCCTTCCCCCAGACCTCTCACATCTCAGGGGAGCCTTGTCTGGGAGCCCAGCATTGGTGACAGACATGTCAGTGATTTGTGTATACTTGCAGTCTGAAGAATGCTGAATTTACTTTTTCTTATATTAAACATTTGTATATTGAATAAGAGACCATTCTCTCATTGCTATTCTCATGCTTGTTTTATACATTTTACTTATTTATTTGAAAGGCAAAGTTAGAGAAGGGAAGAAAAGATCTTCCATCTGCTGACTCACAACAGCTGGGGCTGGGCCTGGGGCCCCGGAGTTTCTTGGTCTCCCACATGGATGTAGGGCCATCCGCTGCTGCTTTTCCAGGAACATTAGCAGGGAGCTGGATCAAAAGTGGGGCAGCCAGAACTTGAACTGGCCCCCATGTAAGATGTCAGCCTCACAAGTGGTGGCTTAATCTGCTGCAGATTGGTGGTGGCCATAAGGGATGCTGGCACTGCAGGTAGTGACTACACTCCCTGTGCCTTAGCACTATCCCCATACGGCCATGTTTGCTAAGGACCACCTTGCATCTTCTGAGCCAGTATTTGACAATTGACCATGCTGCAGCATGAAGGAGCACTTTGGGACTTCCTGATAGGAAGAAGTCTATGGGTCTCTTGGTGTGTCTGCTTGTTAGTTTACTTACATTATGAATGGGTTTTTCTAAGATTGCTTCCACTTATACATGGTATTTTTTAGATTGATGCTGAAATAGGTACACTATTACTGAATAGTTAATGTGTCCAGCAAAGAAAGATGAAATAGGACCCTCACCTTCCAAATTCAGTTTACACCACAGTCCTTAAACTATTGTATCCCATTGCTAAACCTATAGGAACATGTTTCATCTCACAAAGATTATTTTTTGTTTTTTATTTATTTGAAAAGCAGAGTTAATGAGAGGATAGAGAGAGGGTCCATCTGCTAATTTACTCCCCAGATGACTGCAACAGCCAGAAGCTAGGAGCTTCTTCCAGGTCCCACACACAGGTCCAGGGGCCCAGGCACATTAGCAGAAAGTGGAACAGCTGGGTCCTGAATCAGAGCCCTTACGGGATATTGACACTTCAGGCTGAAGATTAACTTGCTATGGCACAACTCTGGTCCCACAACAATTGTTTTCACAGCAGAAGAGAACCAGTGGACTGTCTTTGCCTGAACACTTCTTTCCCCTCTGGCAGAGTCCTTGCATGATCTGTGTGTGTCAGATCTCACTGCTTTGTGGGTTTATGCCTCCCTAGAGGAGTATACACCAGACACTGCCATTCTTGTATGCTCACAGCTGTCCAAGCAATGACATTGGAATATCTGTTAATGGACACTTCTAAGTGTGGTGTGTGTTCTGCGGAGTAGCCGCCACATCCTGGGAGGCAGGTATTGTAATTTTATCATCTTTACTCTTTAGGTAAACAGTCAAGGTGATACGGCCAGTCAGTATCAGAGCCACGCCCAACAGTTAGGTCCACTGTGCTGTGTCACACTTCCTCAGTCTCACCCTGTATTCTGCCTTAGGGAAGGATGTGTGGGATGTAGGGCACATGATGTTGATCTTCTCTGAGCCAGATGGGCTGACTTCTGTCTCTTTGCAGCAGTCAGTCCTAAGACTCACCCTCCTTTCACTGGTGTCTTCCACACAGAACCATAAGGGAAGCTTGGGTTAGTGCTTTATTGGGAGGAAATGCCCCTTATTTTTGTACATATATTAGATTGAGTCACATAATAGGGGAAAAAAGAGCTAACCAAATCAGAGGGGGACGTGGAAATCAAAAAGAATTAAAAGTATCCACTGGCAAGTTGTTTCTGACTGGTCTTTGGCCGTTTTTGCTACCTTTTTGGAGAGGAGAGGTGTCATGGTTAAAGGAATTGTAGGCTGTGAGTTTTGCAGAACCGGCTAGGGGGCAGCATTGAGCAGGGTCTAAGCTGATCTTGGTCACATGTCCCTCTTGTAAGAGGGGCATTAGCCTAGGGGACATTTTTCGGTTCCTGGACCCCGCAGAGGCTGCATTTCTTTCTTCCTTTTATTTTCTTTACTTTTTATTTTTTTTCGAATTGGAAAGTGAGATATACAGAGAGTAAGAGAGACAGGAAGATCTTCCATTCAATGATTGGTGGCTACCACAGCCGGAGCTGAGTTGAGCTGATCTGAAACCAGGAGCCTCCTCTAGGTCTCCCATGCAGGTGCAGGGTCCCAAGGCTTTGGGCTGTCCTTGACTGCTTTCCCAGTTCACAGGTGCAGGGAGCTGGATGGGGAGTGGGGCCTCCGGGATATGAATCGGAGCTTGTATAGCATCTCTGCATGTGCAAGGCGGGGACTTTAGCCATTAGGCTACTGCGCTGAGTCTAGAAGCTGCATTTCTAGCTCACAGAAGAGATGAGATGCAGGAGGTTCCTTTTGCTTCATCCCTACCACACCTGCCTGGACCTTTATAGGGAACAGGATGATGCTAGCCTGCTGATGGTGGGAGAAGTCATTGTCACACCACTCTGGCTGCAGCTGCCTGCCAGCAGAGTGCTGGTGCTGAAGTGCTGATACCCGTTTACAAGCACTTAGTCTTGCTTCTCAGCTGTGATCTCAGTTTTCTTATTCTTTTTAACTCTTACTCTTCTCTCCAATAAATGTTTTCTTTCATAAATGATTCCTTTCTTTTTTATATCTCTTTCAGTTTTATGTGACATATTAAAATTGTTCCCCAAGTAAGTGACTGATTTGTGTTTTATGGATAAGGAATATAAAACCCAGGCAGTGGGGCCCGGCACTATAGCGCAGTGGTTAAGGTCCTCACCTTGCACGCCCGGGATCCCATATGGGCGCCGGTTCTATCTCGGCTGCCCCGCTTCCCTTCTAGCTCCCTGCCTGTGGCCTGGGAAAGCAGATGAGGACGGCCCAAAGCTCTGGGACCCTGCACCCGCGGGGGAGACCCGGAAGAGGCTCCTGGCTTCGGAATAGCATCGGCCGTTGCGCTCACTTGGGGAGTGAATCATCGGACGGAAGATCTTCTTCTCTGTCTCTCCTCTCTGTATATCCGCCTTTCCAATTAAAAAATAATAAAAATAAATCTTAAAAAAAAAAAAACCAGGCAGTGAAAGGATTAGTTTTTATTTCCAAAAGAAGTAAAATCCAGAACCCTTCTCTGTGGCACATACGTACAAAAGGCCTTTGGGCTGCCCTTTCTGTGGTCTCTTTCCCAACAGACCAGCCCTCTGCAAACCTGTCCCTGTGATGTGCTTCAGACACCTGCATCCCACGTCAGGGTCCAGGCTTTGCTTCTCAGCTGTGGCTCCTAACTCTGCCTTCTTGCCAACTCAGTCCTTGGGAGGCTGGCTTGTTGGCTCCAGTGATAGGGTTCTCGATACCCAGGGAAGAGAACTGGTTGTCTTCCAGGTTCTCTGCTTTGTCTTTTTTCCCCCCCACCTTGTCTTTAGCCCTGCCCTGACTTTGGCAGGCATATAGGGAGTGAACCAGCAAATGGGAATTGTGTTTTCTATTTCTTCTCTCCTCTTATCAGATAAATTAATTAATTTTTTTTCCTCTGAATAGATTTGTGTAGGTAAATTTCATTAAATTCTATATAGCCTTGGAGGACTGATGATGAGCTGGGGTGACATTTTTCTTCAAGTTGGGAAACTCAGATTTCTCAAAAGGGACCAGTAGGAACTGCCTGCTGTAAAGCACACAAGAGGAAGCCGACAACCTGGTAAAATGTGGGAAGCTGTGGTAGGTCAGAAACACCTGATCAAGGGTGAGAGGAAAGGGGAGAAGAATTAGCTGCAGGAGATCGTGAGTCCCAAGACCCAGGGGATACACTTTGAAATGGCTGTCAGTGCTAGAAATGACTACCACACCCCTGAGGTGAACTCCTGAGCTCGCCTGTGGGGGCCCTGGCCTGAGAATCCCCCTGGAAGCTCAGTGTGCTCACATGTTGAAGATGCGTTCCCTTGACCATTCTGGTGCACTCTGTCCCATGTGAGAAGCAGGGTGGCTGTAGATTTCCTGTCTGTCCCTTTCCTTAGGGACACCATTGTACCTGTCACTTGTTGCTGATGTAAGTGCATGGATTGGAAAAATGACTACTTTGCAAATACATGGGAATTATCATCAGTTGTTTCCACTTCAGAAAAGCATTGGGCTGTGGGGTGTTATGTTTCTGGAAGTGATGTGAGGAAAAATAGCGTAGCAAATGTCAGGTATACAGGGTGGTGAAGGAGAGCTCAGATGGAAGGTTCCACTTCAGGGAAGGCAGACTACCCGCCTTGTAAGGTTTGCTGCTGGAAGGAAGTTCTGTGGTGCCCCAGCCTTGCATGTGTAGAGTGATGGGACAGTGGGAAGAACCACAGTCACTGGAGTTTGATTTCAGAGTCAAGCTCTGAGGGCGGGGCAGGTGCTCTGTGTCTGGAGGTCTAGCTGCAGAGTGCCTGTCCTTATGATTGTTTCTGAGGAGTGCTTGGTAAAGAAAAGAACAGCTACTCCAGCCAGACAGAGCCAGCTCTGGAATGGGTTTTCCATAGGGAATCAAAACGAAATGTGGAAGAAGAACCAGGTAGAGTGAGAAGGGCTAGTTACTGAGGTGTGGTGGGTCAGATGAGAGTATTGGTGTTGTTAACATGATTCATTGGCTTCCACGCTGTCAAGAGTTTACATCTTTGAGGAGTTTCTTAGAGTTAGTTTGTATTTATGGAAGGTTACATTGGAGAAATTTTCTCCATAAATGACTTCATAAAAATAGGTGCTGCCTGTCTCTCTCTGAGGCTTCAGCAGTAATTCTAATAATTGACCAAAACTTGACTGTGGAGAAGCAACCCGGATGCTTGCACAAAGTGAGGTATGCATGTCCTCTTGCTTTTGGTAACATTCATGCCAGGGCTTTCTGAACCAGGATGTACATGAGCTACTTCTTGGTACATCTTGGGGCTTTGTGATTGTCAAGGGTAATTGGAGCTTGGGAGTCAGAATGGCAAGGTCAGGGTGATGATCTAGAGTGATACAATTGGGGAAATGCCTTTTGTGCCCTGCACACATTGCTATGGTCTCTGCTAAGAACCCTGTCATTCTTGGGACACCCAAAAGGCTTGTTTCAAGACTAATAGAAAGGCTCAAGACAAGCGTGGAAAGGGTTAAAGCTCACTCCCTTGCTGCTGGTGAAATGGTCATCCATGTCTTCATGGTCACACACAGGAAGAGAACTGAAGCCTTCATTTGGAACACTGCAGGCTTTTCCTTTAAAGAGGAGCTTTATTCGGCATCAGCCTGGCAGCTCTTCAAATAAAATCACAAAGGAGTGAGACATGATAAACAACTCTCCCATCCCAAAGCAGAACTGCATAGACAAGCAGACGCTCGTGGCCAAGGCTGTGGAGGCAGCAGGAGCCGCAGCAGCACACAGGGCAAGCATGGGTCCCAGGAGGGGAAGCACATGAGGACAGCATCGGCCTATCAGCTCTGAGCCCCTGTGTGCAGCTATGAGAGTCTGTACAGAAGGGGCTGTCACTAATCACGGTGGCAGGGGATCTAGTTTTTGGCACGAATCAGCAAGTCCCTTTGGTTTAGAGTATACCCTTCTCTGCCATCCTTCTGCACCCTCAGGAAGAAGAACTTAGAGGCTTCCTCTGGCACTTTTCATGCTGTGACTATGTCTTGATTGTACTGTGGCCCTTTGGCTCTTTTGGGCACCTCAGTAGCTGAGAAACTGAGGAGAGACTTTGGTATGAATTCTGCCTCGTGTCAGATTAGCTACTGGGGAGGAATGCTGAGGCCACTGGACTCCCTCCTGCAAAGATGCAGGAGCTGAGAAAGATACCAAGTCCCCATCTCCCTGAACTGAGTATGGATTATTCTCTTGGCTTAGGAAGAGGCCGTTCCCATCAGTGGGGAGTATGGGGAAGGTGGCAGTAAAGGAAGATGCTCTCAGGTACAGCTCCTGTGGTGTCCATGTGGCAGCTGTTGCCCCTTAGCCAGGCAGGCCCATGCAGGCTTCACTGCCTGCCATGACTGTGAAGAGAGAACCTCAGGTTGTATAAACATCTAGTTATGGAACTATTTCCTCACCAGCAGTGACCCTGTCTTTGGTTTTCTACTCAAGGGTACTAACTCCAGAGTGGTACCTCCCAGGTGATTAAAAGAGGAGGCACTTGTCCACCTCCTTGGCTTTTGCATGTGTGGCTCTCCTTAGTTCTGCCTGACTCCCTTCAGCTCCCCATATGCTCATTTGGCCTGTTGAGATGTAATCCGCACCAAGCCCCTGAGAGGTCCTTTGTTCCCTCACCTTCCTGTTAGGTAGAGGGTCTAGCCTAGCATGATTCATTTTGGGATGGGCCCTTCTTGCTGGGGAGCGTGGTCTGTGGCCTGGAAGCATGTGCTTTACTGCCTGCTACCCCCATGTATGTGTATATCTAGGTGCCATTGCCCAGTTGGAGGCACTATCAGCTTGTGGTCCAACCTGCATTGGAAACATGGTGCCCTGATTTGTTATTACAGCCACTGAGCTCCAGTTTTGTACTGGGCATTGAATGTGCTGCAGCCGTGGTCCTCTGGGCCTTTGGGGCTGGCCTGCCGTCGTCTGCACAGCAGGTAGAGAACAGTGTCTTCCTTCAGCCCTCGGAGCCCTGCCTCAGACCTGGTGCGGTTTCCCTGTGGCTGCCTGCCTGGGCACCCTCATCTATAGCCCCTTTCTCCAGTGTGCTGCCTACCCAGCATGTAGTTGCCTACTGTTGGGTGGCAGCTCACTGCTCTGGCATCCTAGTGTATAAATATTTGTCAAAGGATGGGGACATTTTCCCATTTCTCAAAAAGCATTTTGAAAAATGTGCCTGTTTTCTTAGTCATATTTCCAAGCTCTGGATCAGTCAGGCCATTCATTCCTTGCAGTTGACAGACACTCGCTTGGCCTCAGCTGGCCATGGAAGTAAGTCTGAAGTAACTTCTGGCCCAGTAACTTTCAGGCCTTGGTACCAGGGGATCCTGGGCCTAAAGGAACCAATAGCAGCAGTGTCACTGATAGTGGAGGCAGAAACACATAGCCAGGCAGGTGTCAGGAAATGGTCAAGATGAGGGAGCTGATGGGATGAGGCCCGCTTATCCTGCAGCCATGTGATGCAGCTGGGTTGCTGTCCAGTTAATGTTGATGCCTGGCCCTAGAACTTAGCTCTGCCGGAACCTGAAACTGTCTGCCTCTGTAGAATGGCCCTTGCGCTGAACAGGCCAGTGGGAAGCATGGAACAGAGCTGTGTTTGTTTCAGCCCTCAGGGTTGAAATCTTGATCTGAGCTGGCTTCATACAAGGCTTCATCTGAGCCCCACATCTCTTGCACACACTCACACAGTCCCCACCCTCCATCAGCTGCTGCCCGCAGTACATCTCTGCTGGCTTCTGACTGCTTCTTCCTGACCTGCTTGTCTATGTCCTCCATGCCCTCAGATGCCAGCTCTTTCTTCTTTTTTCCCCTCTTGCTTCTGGTCCCAGTTTGGTACAGCAACATGAGGTAATAGGAGTGATGAGAAAGCAGTAACCTGCTGAGTGAGCAGGGGGCTTCCTGGTGTACTGCTTTTCTGTTCTAATACATGCGCTCTCCTCCCACAGATCATCAATTTCTACATGAATATGCTGATGGAGCGAAGTAAAGAGAAGGGACTTCCAAGCGTGCATGCATTTAACACTTTTTTCTTCACTAAGTTAAAAACAGCTGGTTATCAGGCAGTGAAACGTTGGACAAAGAAAGTGGACGTGTTCTCTGTTGACATTCTTTTGGTGCCCATTCACCTGGGAGTGCACTGGTGTCTTGCTGTGAGTACGCCCTTACTTTTTGAAACAGTGGAAAACAAGTTAGGAAGTACAACAGAAGTAGTGAGACACTCGACAGGTTCACTTGACCGCTGAGTACAGCATTTTGTGGTAGGTTGGTGTACATCCTGCGCAGAAAGGGGAGATACTTAGGCTTTGAAGAAAGCTGTGGAATTTACTTTTCTGGAAATATATAAAAGGGTATCATTTAGTATCTGAGCAGCCTCAAGGTGTGACATACGGTTGGAAATTGACTTCCTGGTAAGGCTGCAAACTCCGATTTTTTTGCCCTCTGCCTGGTCCTGACTCATCTTGTATACTTGGTGACTTCAGTGTTTTATGACTGAGAACATGGCTGCACTAGCTTTGTGTGTTAGTAAAAGTGTAACAGTTATTTCACAGTCTGTTTTGAATTACATTTGGAAAACATAAAACCAAAAGAAAATTCTCCAGGTTAGGAGTCCTCACACTTTGAGACTAAGGGGAGGGTCTCCAGGAGTCCCACTTCTTTCTCTGAAGATCAGGTCCTGAGTGCTAGAGACAGTCCACCTGGAAACCCCCAGCAGCCATCTGTGCAAATGCTGATAGCCCTGGAAGTTTGACAGGGTCCCAGGGCCCTGGGAGGGAAAAGCAGAGAACCTAGTCTTCTTCACTCTGTAAGCACTCAGCTTTTTTCTTGTGCCCAGGTTGTGGACTTCCGGAAAAAGAGCATTACATATTATGACTCCATGGGCGGGGTGAACACTGAAGCTTGCAGGACTCTCTTGTAAGTCGGGGCCAAGGGTGTGGGTCGCTTCTGGCTGCTGAGCCCAATTGTCTATCCCTCCAAGGGAGGGGTTAAAAAAATTTTGCATGCAATAATAATGGGTATTTTACATCTAAATTTTAAAATAATGCAACATTATCAAAAGTGCAGGCAATTAATGTCCTGACACACTCAAATATGGAATGGATAGCTAGGCAGAGTTGTCACCATTACTTAGGGATCATTGAACCCAACCTTCTGTTGTTGAGTTGAAGAAACCAAGACCCACAGAGGTGTTGACTCTGAGTTGCCAGAGCCTAGCTAGTGGCTTTGCTAGGAGCCAGCATGCAAGCTGTCTGTGCACCACTGCTCACTCTGCCCTGAGATGGGAAGAGGAGGTCAGCTCCAGAAACGTGGACTATCCACACTCCCAGAGAAAGCTGTGTGTACTTTGTTGTCCTGCGCAGTTCTGGTTAGCATTGCGTTTGACACAATGCAAACAAATGCCTCCTTGTTAATAGAGAAACATTTCTGTGTGTTAGCTTGAGCCCAAAAGTGACAAGAGTTAGAGCTTACTCCTCAAGAGGAGCAGTAAGTGGAAGGCACCTGAGTGGCAGATACAATGGCTGTGTTCCTCCTGGGCTGACATCATCTGCAAGAGTTGGGAAGGCAGCCCTGCTCCGGGGAACATTTGCCAGTCAGGCTGGCTGCCCTGCATGTTACCTTCCCCAGGATAGTGCTTCTTCCTAGGGAGTCGCTGTCCTCCGTGTCCCCACAGCTCATCTCATTCTCTTCCAACACCTTAGGCAATACCTGAAGCAAGAAAGCATTGACAAGAAAAGGAAAGAGTTTGACACCAACGGCTGGCAGCTCTTCAGCAAGAGAAGCCAGGTACCTGTGGTGCCAAGGAGGTGGAGGTCCTGGAAACTGACATCTAGTGGAGATGTTCCCAGGCCCCTTCACCCTCCTTGCTCAGTGTCCAGCCTGACCTCACCCTGGGTCTTTGGCTCAGATGGAACCTTTTTTGGAAATCTGGGGGTGGGTGTGGATGTAGAACAGCATTTCCCAGGTGCACTGCCGTTCTACCAGACTTTTCACTGCTATGGGAAGCGTTTGCTGACACATGGACCTATGGGGTCTTTACCTGGATAACCATGGGTATCTGAGATACTGTCCTCCGTGGTTCATGTAAAAGGCGTGCACCTGGCAAAAGTGCAGACATCTTGTTTTCTGTGAGCCTCTGTTGTCCTGAGTTGAGGACCAGAATCTAGGGGAACCTGTAACACATAGGGCTTTTGGTTCTTATGTTTAAGAAGCAAGGAAGGTTGGACAGATTGTCTTTTGTTATTGGTCTTTCAGGAAATTCCACAGCAGATGAATGGAAGTGACTGTGGCATGTTTGCCTGCAAATATGCTGACTGTATTACCAAAGACAGACCAATCAACTTCACACAGGTGAACTGAGTCTTGGCAGGGGAGCTCTAGGCCGCCAGCTCTCCTTGGGGGCTCTGCACTGATGGGTGGCCCCTGGTGGGGACAGGCTACGTTGGGTAACCCTGCCTCATGCACTGTGATAGTGAAGAAATCCTGACTGAGTGCAGAGCCTCCTGCTCTTCCTGTCTCCCCCTGCCTTCTCCAAGCCACAGGGCTAGGAGCGGAGCAGGCTTTCTTCCATTCCTCTCTGCTTGGGCACCCTCAGGGTTCAGAGCAGCCACGCCCTCTTCTGCCTTACTGCTGCTCACTTGAGGCAACTGGCAGATCTCTTGGTGCACGACAGGTCATTCCTGTCTGTGCTCCTTCAGGGACCAAGGTGGGTGGAGGCTGGAGATGAAGGCTTGTTCTGATGTGGTCTCCACTGTTAACTGCACCTATGTTTGAACCAGTGGCTTAATCGAATCTTCAACCTTAATCCTTGGGCTGACAGACTGAGCTGATGCCTGAGGTTCCCTCCATTCATCCCCTAGAAGGCAAGTTTTTGTTTTTAGGCCTCAAAAATTCTTCAGGCAAGACTTGATCACCGCCATTCTCCAAAACTTTGGAGGCATCTGAGCACAGCCTGAGGGCTCCTGGCCATGCCCAGTGTGACTGCCAAGGCTGTAGCAATAGAAATAGTGGTAGGGGGAAAAGTAGTGGAAAGAAAAAAGCCACATGTCATCAAAAGTGGATGAGATGAAAACTCAAAACACATCTGAGATGATGTTGGTAGGATGCCTTGAAGCAGAGAGGAGTGTGGGGAGGCAGGTCGGGTCAAGAGAACAGGAGTGGAACTAAGGCTGTCTCTCTCCCCACAGCAACACATGCCATACTTTCGGAAGCGGATGGCCTGGGAAATCCTGCACCGGAAGCTCTTGTGAAGACCATCCTGGTTGGTGACTGTTGATCCTGTTGGGGACCAGCTTTTTGTCGTCTGGCCAGAGACCTTGAAAACAACTGCTCCCAGCCTTGTGTTCTTATAGAACCCTTTGCCCCTGGATAGGCCCTGGCGAGATGCGTTCACAAGCACATCTGCCTTTTGTTTTGTATCTCAGATACTATTTTTGCAAAGAAATGTTGGTGCTGTGAAAGGGGTGAGGGACATCCCTGACTGAGCTGAAGAGAGAGACTCTCTTCATGTCTTCAGTTCTGCCATCTTGTTCTCTAAGGGCTCCAGCCTCACTTGGCCCCTAATGAGGGGATTGGGAAAAGCTTGGAAAGGTCTTGGTTTGCCATAAACTCCTGTTAGGCCTTACTAGGATGTAGGAAAGGGCATGGACAAAAAGTAGGGCTATGAACCACCAGCATTTCCGTGCACCAACGTCCACACACACCTGAGCACCCCTCGGGATGGGTCATTAGGAACATAACTGAACTGGATGCCAGCTTCTCAGTGACCCTGTTTGAAACCCTTCTGCTTCCAGACAAGGTTGTTTGGTCCTCAGTAGCTTTTTCCCTTCCTAAGGCACAGCACATGAGCCTTGGGTGGACCCCCCAAAATCCCAAGCTGTCCTTTCCCTCAAAGTAGAGGCTTGCATGTCTGAGGACACAGGATACTGTCCTCAGAACAGCCTGGAAGGAGCCAAGGTGTGGCCACCTGAGCCTTGAGCCTGGAATTCCAACCCTGGGTAAATGCAGGTCTACCTGGTCTGTGGCAACTTGGTTTAAATTTCTGACCACAGAGAATTTTATGTATTTTACAGGGATATGCTTTTTTTTAAAAGGAAAGACTGAATGTGTTCACCATTTAGCCTGTAGATTGATTCTCATTTTCCAAATCGCAGCACACTGAGGCCCTGCCCTGTGTATACTTGCTGACAGCTCCTCTAGGGACTCTGGCTCTGCAAGTGGATGGTGTCCCAGCCGAAGGGTGATGGCCTTTGGGTGTTCCACCTAGCTCCTTGGTTCTTCCCAGCATCCCCCGCCGAGAGCGCCTCAGGCTTGGAGGGAAACGACCCTCTGCCAATATGGCTTTTGTACTGAAGTTCCCAGACAGGAGCATTTTCTGTTTCCTGCATTGTCCTGGGTAGTTTTGTATGAATTCTCCCTGACCCATCCTCAGCAGCATTGTACTTTCTGCCTGGGCTTCTTGGAAGATTTTACTCTGTTTTATACCAAGCTTGTTTAGTACATTTTTCTATGTTTTACCACAAGTTACAATTTGAAAAGAAAACTATTTTTTTTAAATATTCCATTATTAACTGATTGTTACCTGAGTGTCCAGATGTCCTCCTTTTTTGGTAATTGCCTGCCTGGGGGTGGGGGGCAGCGTGTGTGCGTGTGCTTGCTCGCTCGCGCTCTCTCTCTCTCCTCCCCTTTCTTTTTTTCCCTGCCTCCATCTGTCTATGTTTCTCTTCCTCTTCCCCTACGTCCCTCTGCTTTTGTGTTTTTTCTTTCTCTTTCTTTTTTCCCTTCCTTCCTTCTCTGTTTCTTTCTTTCTTATGTTTTCTGTAGGAAATAAATAGCTTTCTGTATTTGAGTTGCTGGGACCTTTCACAGTCTCTTCTAGAAAGCTGTGACTTTGAAGCATGTTGGAAGACTCCTGGAATGTTGTCTGGTTCCTGGTACTTCCTGTACTTAAGTGACAACTTGAAAAGTGGCAGTGTACTGTGGATTTGGACTGCAGAGCAAAAGCCCTGAATTCTTCAGGCTGTCTCATGTTTGTCCTAATAAGATAGTTCTGTATTTGTTGTTGCCATTTAGGTAACATCTGTCTTACCTTCCTCAGAGACTTTCCGTATAGACCAAAGCAGCAAATACTTATTGCTATATGTAGCAGAAAAGGAGACATAAACAGAAGTACTTTGGAAATACATAAGAAATTGTTGAGCTGTCTGAATTTGGCCCCTTTCTGCAATGCCATTTTGTGTAGGACAGAACAGAGCGATCCCAGGGTCACCCCCACCCAGACCATGTGGGAATGGGTGGGGCTGAGGTAGGGTGTGGCCTAGTGGCTCCCTGAGAATCCAGTCCAGAGAGGCAGCCATGAAGAGTGGGACCAGGACCTGGAAGCCTTGTCTTTATATGGGTGGGTTGGTATGCATCGGTTGTGGAGGGCGTAACTGGAGTTGTATAAGCTACTGCAAACTGAGTTCTCTTGTCCTGCTCCTCCTCCCTCTGTGTGCAGTGCTTGCAGACATCCTCTTTCTCCCCAAGAGGGAATACATGGGTGAAAGCACAGATGATGCCAGGTGGGGAACCCTGTTCCTGTGCAAAGGAAGTCCAGCTCGAGGGGATAGGACCGTCCAGCACAGGGACTGGTCACATCCCATTTATCCCAGGAGACTTAAGTCTGTCTTGTGCCTCCTGCTGCCATGCACCATCATTGCCCTGTTGTCCACCATTGTGGTCAAACAGTCAGCTTCACTCACTGCTCCTGTGCTACCAGCCGGGCTCCTGGGGAGACCACCACCGTGGCCTGTCAGCACCTGGTTTTACAGGACCCATGGAAGGGAGGGTTCCTAGAAGCCACAGTACCTTACCTGCTTTAGCTTTGGCCCTTGCCAGAAGAGAGGCAGCTGACGCTTGGCTTGTCCCTACCCTGCTGCACCCACATGAGCTCAGTAAAAGCAGGTTGAGGCTCTCTGTCCTCACTGGTGATCCAAACGGGAAGCTGTTGTACGTGTGCCCAAGAGGTCACAGAGCAGTGTGTCCCCAGCTTGAGATTCTTCCAGCATCCCACGGCTCCTCAGGGCCCAGAGTCACCTATGGCAAACCCTGACGTTGCCTCCAGCACTTTGCTGCCATTCCTGGGCTGGGGGGTGGGGGAAGGCTAGGACATGCTGGAGAGAAATTGCCGACATGTATCTCAAATGCCTTCGGTATGGCTACTGCAGGCTTGGGCCACGTGGCCACGCTCCTGTCTGGCTCTAACTTGGGTGCTGGGCTGTCAGAGTTAAGGCTGGGGTTGACATGGGCCTGCTTTTAGAGCTGTGGCATCGCTCAGAGTCTTGTCTGATGGATTGGCTCTCAATGACCACTTCTACTTTCTCAGCTTCTGGATCCTGCCCTCTTCACCACAGAGCACAGTTGCTGGAGAGGAGAGAGCATGGCAGGGTCCAGGCTGCCAGTACCCCACACTCAGATCCCGTCAGAGAGCACAGCCCCATGAAGCACTAGGAGTGGACTGAGGCAGGTGTCGCTGGACCACCTTCAGGGACAGGGGCAAGGATAGCTCCACAAAGCTTTAGTGAAAGAATACTGCTGGCAGGTTCCTCTGTGGCCCCCAGCTTGGTACCCACTCTTGTCCCTAGCTTTGTGGTGCCCTTCTGGGCTTGATTTGCTCAATCACCACATGTCCTGCTAAGTGCAGCATTTCTTTGTTTTTTATTATTCTTGTTGGGTCTTGTCATTTATCTTTTTTTTTTTTTTTAATAGTCTTACCTAATTGATTAGGGTACAAAGAGTCAAGGGCTACAGGAAAGTGGGTAAGACCATTGTTTCCACACTAATATCATTACTTTTTTTCCCTGTATCTGGGGTCAAGGGAGAAACAAAGGGAGAAACCCCACCCAGCCTCCCACCCATCCCAGATCCCCGAGGTGAGGCACGCTCCAAGGGTCCTGCTCAAGCAGTTTTGATAGTTCAACAGTTCTGAATTGCTGCCAATCTCACCGTCCAAGCACGATGAAATCTCAGAACCTACTGGCTGACAGAGTCTCTTCATGGTTGGGGTTCTGAGATCAACAGTTTAGTTGGAGGGATCTCCCAAAAAACTTCACCTGAGGTGATCCCAGACCTGATTCTTGTGTGTGCTTGCCAATATAGGGTCTGACACTGTCTTATGCCCCAGTCAGCTTATGCACATGCTGTGTCAGTTCTGTTTCCAGTCCTGTCTTCCATGTGAACCGATGGGTGTTGTAATCCAGCCTGATCCTGCCTACTTCATACTCGGTCCTCACACAAACCAGTTGGAGCTGCAGCCTAGTTGGGGCAACTCATTATAACCCCCACCAGGCCTGCTACCCTGGTTCCCATGCTTGCCAGTATGTACCACAGACTTGTTCAGTCTGTCCCACATCCCGTTTAGCTCTCATACATGTCATTGGGCATAGAAGCCTAGTTCAACCCAACAACCCTACTATCCAGGCCACACACATACTGGTGGGGCAGCACCCTTTTGATTTCCAGTGGTGCTTTATGTCCCTGTCTGTTGTTTGCCTCAGCCTTCCGAGTCAGCTCCTGAGCTGGTGCTCCCATAGGGTCCCTTGAGAGCCTATTTGTGAGCCCTGATCTTGGGGTGCCTGGCAGCGAGGGAAAAGGGATGATGAGCATGGTAATGGAAGCCATCTCATCTTGGGGGCTACTTGTGCAGACTTTGTCGCTGAGCTGGCATAGGTGTCTGGGCAGACAGTGTGCCCTCAAGCAGGCAGACCCACTCACCAGGTGGCAAAACCAGCCAGAATGGGCAGTTGCAGGGCAGAGGCGGATGTTACCTCTATTAGCCTGTCTCTGTGTGACTCTGCCACCTATTAAAAGCTGATTTATTTAAAATAAGTTCTGTGGATTTTTGCCTCCTTGCTTTGTACCCTCCCTGGTCAGAAGGAGGGGGTGGTGCTTGTCTCTGACTGTCCTGCTGTCCGTGTTTGCATCTCCTGATCCATGCTGGGCTGCTGATTGGGTCCTCAGGGTGGCCTGGATCTGAGTCCACCCCTTAATCAGAAGTCTGAATACTATTCATTCATTCATTTCATTCCACATACCTGGAAATGAAGCCTGGAACGTAAATAACATGCAAATCCTTGACTCTCTGGCACTTTTAAAACGAAATCTGTCTTTGGGGCAGGCAGAGAGCCTTTGGAGGACAGAGCCGCCAGCCAGGCTCCAGCCCACCCTGCTGGCTGGCTCCTGGTCTGGATGCCTTGCTTGCACCCTTTGTTGCAGCACTTGCTCTTCCCATAAAACTCAGACATGAGAAATGGCCTGTCCTCACAGCTCTCCCACCATGTTGGAGGTTTTGTCTGAGGAGAGTCCATCTGTGTCGTGCACGTTTTTGCATTCCAACAGTTTTGGGGCATAATGACGATATTCCCTAGCTTTTGAAACTGGAAAGTGAGGAAGAAACTGTTTAATTCAAACCACCCTCTGTGACTCCTGAATGTGGTACAGAAACCCATGCCTGCCTGGGTGGGCATGCATGGAAGGGAGGGCCTGGCAGATGAGCATCACAGCAGCCCACACCTGCTTGGGAGATGCCCCCTCCTCACCTCCCTGTGTCTGCTGCTAACAACTGTCCCCTGCTAGTGAGCAGTGTCTGGGGCCCCTGCAAGGCCTTGTACTCAGAGCAGCAGCCCCCACTGGGCTATGGTCAGAGGTGAATCCCAGTAATTGGGCTCCGTGGCTTCCCTGACTCACTTGTTGGCCATGGTGCTACTTGGCTTTTGACTGACTGCCAATTTGCTACACCTGTGTCTCACTATGGTTGTGTGTTGCATGTGTATCCCAAGCATCTGGAAGAGCCAGCAGGCTAGCAAGAGGCACACAGTCACTTGTTTCCCTGCCTGTCATGGCCTCACTTTCCTTCAGGTGGCTTTCAGCCACTTCCTGGCTTTTGCCTCTTATGTGTGCCTTCAGGGCTGTTGTCCCCTTAGCAGACTCTCTTCTTCCATAAGTGCTTCCTGAGGCCCTGACCCCAAACCTGGATGTCTGGCCTTACCCTACAAGCCTGTGAGGCAGGTATTAGCAGCATGGAGGCTAAAGAACTTGGCATTGTCACTCAGCTGAGGGGCACAGGCCTCCTCAGCCTTGGCTTGGACTTCCTGGGGTGCTCCTAAGTGACAGTGGGAAGACCCCTTCTCTCCAGGTAGCAGGGGAGGACCTGCTTCCGCTCCTCACCATAGTCTGCAGAACAGAAAGGCATTCAGAGGTTACTGTGCCTTTGAAGCCCCTTTCCCCTGGGTTCTTAGGACAGAGGGATCCTCTTCTGTTCCCTCTGTGGTCTTCAGTAAGGGGAAGCTGAGGGATTAAGGGACACATGGGCAGAGGCACTGGTGCCTTAGAGGCTGTCTTATCAGGTCTGCACATGGGTGTATATAGAACTCTCCTCCCCAGAGGAAGATGGACCAGCACTGCTCCATCTTTCCTGTCTGCTTGTCCCCCATTTTCCCTCAGCTTTGGGAATCTCAGGAATGCAGAGCACAGAGCTCTCCTTGTCCCTCCTGCCCCACACTCCAACCTCTAGAGGGAAGGGA